TAAGTTATCTAAATTTGTCTTTACCTTAAGTAACATTTGGTATATTTTTATTATTATTTCTTAGTTCTGTGGAGGGTATTAGAGTATTAATACCAAATAATTTTTACTTGAAAACTTTTGGTCGACGAATTGTTGCAGTTTTTACATCTCTCAAACAAGAAAATAGCGTAAGACTGTAAAGTAGATGTCATTCAAAAAAGTAATCGAAATCGGGACATTGAACTTACATTTTATCGTAATTACTGATTTTGACTAATCGGTTGTTTAACAGATAGGGTATTTACTTTTATTATTTTTAAAACAATTAATCATTCATTTTTCTGTGCACATTTTTGTTTTAATATTAAGAGCTGACCCCTTTATTATTAGGCCACAGTACGGGGTAATGTTGGAAAGAGTTTATTGTTATTTCTGTTCCACTCGTAAAGACAAGGTTTAATCTATACTAATATATAAATTATCTGCAGTGGCTTGTACGGATGTTCCGTTATAACTACTCAACCATGCATCCGATTGACTCGAAACTTGGTTGGTATCCATGTTTTATTTTTTTTCTTAGATGGCTGAACGAGCTCACAGCCCACCTGGTGTTAAGTGGTTACTGGAGCCCATAGACATCTACAACGTATTATAAAATGCGCTACCCACCTTGAGATATAAGTTATAAGGTTTCAAGCCGGCTGCCCCAACCTTCTAGAAAATACATGTACTTGATGGATAGGCTAATATTTATATGAGTGTTGGACTCCCTAATAAACCTCCTCGCGTCGTTTTCCTCATTACTGAGGGTCGAGACTCCCCCGCTGCATCAGTTTCTCCCGTACGACTTCCCTCCATCTGCCGCGATCCTTTGCTTCATGAAGGGCATTAATAATAATGACAATAAATAATGATGCTAATTTTAAATGCGCAGCGAAGCGGGCGAGTACGGCTAGTAAAATTATATTTTTGCATTCATGAAATCATTGTGGACAGTTTATAAGATATTTCACTTTAAACTCAATAAAGCGTTAAAATAACGACATCATCGACTTGCGTCACGTGTCCGTGTGCTAGTCTATAAGCACGCACGCGAGCCGTCGGCGATTGGTGGTTTGCTCTTGCGCCTGTGACGTCACCACTATAAATTAATATAAATTACAAGTGCACAAGGCTGATCATGTCATGCAATAAAATTATAAAAAATTATTTCGTCGTAATAGTAGCAGAAGTTTTAGTTGATTTTTGTCCACATTCTTTTTTGTTTATACCTCGCCTGGAACTAAAAAATGGGGCCATAAGATGAATTTGCAATTTATTTTATTAGGGATATACTTAGATGGCAGTTACCAGACAGACATCTTAACAATTAACCTATACATTTAAAATTTAAAATTATTATATCGGAATGAATTATTTTAATATTACTGATGTATTCTCTAGATGTCCCAAGTTATTACTTATTTTTTTTAGATACATTTGTAATAAGTACGTGGAAAAATGAGCATTATTATGAAATAAATAATAAAATGAAAGGGATTTTATTTGTACGTTTCGACAAACGTTAATCCCATGTAAAGCTCGTATACGCGTAACAAAGGCTTGCTCGGCCCCGGGCGACTGATAAAAATAGAATAGTGAATAAAAGGTCGTGTTTTCGCTAGAGGAATGGTTCTTAAACTGGATCATGAATAGTAAAAAAAAGGGTACGCTGTGATGGACAGGTGGTACTTACTGGTGGTAGTTCTGCCGTGAAGCATGCGTTTCGGTCGTAAGGGTAGGGCAGCTGATGTAGCTATACTGAAATCTTAGAACTTATATCTCAAGGTGGGTGGCGCATTTAAGTTGTAGATGTCTATGAGCTCCAGTAACCACTTAACACCAGGTGGGCTGTGAGCTCGTCCACACATCTAAGCAATAAATAAAAAAAAGGAAAAAAAACTGTAAATTCATATTTGGATAATAATAAGGTAGGAATTGAAGCAGAAATGCGTTTCAGTTTCAAGGGTGGAAGAGCTGTTGTATATGACTTTTTCCTCATATCTGGGGATGGTTGGTGGCGACATTCAAGTTACAAAGGTAACCAACTAAAACCAAGTCCGTGTGAGTTTTATTATATACTTATGCAATGCTCGATACTTCAACCAAAATATACGGCTGAGAAATCCTAGTGATTTCGAAATTCATAATACTTTCGATCATATTTCTAGAAGGCACTAAAATCTAGTGGAAGCATCTTAGTGTTTTCCAGAAACATCGATAAGTGCACTCCAATTGGATTCGATAGGAGAGAAGTGACGCGCCCTCTGCGCCGATAACCTAAATGTAAACGTTTTTGTTCACTAAGCGTTTCCGATCGGACTTCAAACAAAAATTAATTACGAACTTTCAATACTTATAATTAATAATACTTATAATTCAATACTTTAACGGCCGTCTGGTGTAGTGGTAAGTGACATAGTCACTACACAAGGGGGTTGCGGGTTCGAATCCCGCCAAGGGAAGATATTTGTATGATAAATATAAATGTCCTTTCCAGGGTTATGGATGTATATTAAATATATGTATGTGTATAATAAAAATCTTACATTTATTTCCGTTATCTGGTAACTGTAACACAAATTCTTTACGAACTTATCACGGGACCAGTTAACGTGGCGTGATTGTTAATAAATATGTATATATATGTAAATATATATAAATATATATAATTAAATAATTATACCAATTAGCAGACAGCGACATGGCCCGTGGTATTGCTGACGTCATTGAATGACATACTCACCCTCAGGTAGAATTATGCCACTCAAAAAGATTAGAAAAATTTATGTTTTATGTAACCATAAAAAGTGAACAGTTTACTGTTCAACAGATGTAATTGAAGCTTATAGTTGATGTTGAAGAATATCGGCTATATTAAATTCGTGAATCGTCACAAATACTACATATCGTCTTTTTGCATTAAAAGCGTATAATTTTCTAAAATATTCGAAATTGAGTTAATATGCGGAATCATTTGGTATCACCAGTATTTTTGTCATAAATACGAGAAGAGCGAGCGTAGTTTAGTTTTAGTTTTTTTTATTTTATTTACCTATGTTTAGACTATTAATAACAAAATTAATACATAATTTTGTTTTACTTTAATAGACAGATAATTTCATTGGTAATAAATAAAAAATAAATGTTGCAATATTAAAAATATCACATGTTAAACCTTTAAAACACTCTCCTGTAAAATTAGTAAGTTTTGAGATTATATGAGTTTTAATGCGAGAAGACGATATATTATTAGATTTATTAGCGACTTCTGCAATTGTGTCCACTATTGACAAATAGACCACCATATCTGTTTAATAGTAGAGAAAATACACAAAAAAATTTTTACAAACATTTTTTATTTATTTATTTTATGTACACACAGAAAAAAAAGACATAGTACAGAGTAATAGGAAAATTATGTACAAAGGCACTGCTTATTTCTTTAAGAAATCTCTTCCAGCAGACCTGCGAGAGGATAATGAGAATAATAATAAAAAGTGATAAGTGTGTGTAGAACAAATAACACATAACTAAAATAACAAATACAACATGAGAATTATAGTAATGCACATACACATACCAAATATTGTTAAACTTGAGTACAAAATATTATAAGTAACACGGTAACACTCGTATATACGAAGAGTATGGAACCATGATCATTCGGTTGATGAGAGATAAAATTGTTTGACCTTGTATTTAAAAACAGAAACAGACTTGCAAACTCGGATGTCAGCAAACATCTGTTGCACGATCTCTTGGTGTACGAGGAACGTGTCTCCGTATATTGTCGGGAACCCAGTGTTGCGGTTTATTTATGTCAAGTCACGTTTTCTCATCGAGCCTCGTGGGCGTGAAGAAATAAAAAGACGCCTACGGATATCGGGCACATTTGTGTGGCGGTTCTGGAACCGATTGAAAGGGCAATAATGACACAGGAACTAGGAACCGAATTAGGGTACTATTGAACTTTGTTGTCATTTTTGCCACGGTGTTTCCCGAGCGCTATGACAAGTCCTTCAAACGAGGCTTGTGGAGAGTCGTAGGCTTGGCTCTGCCCCTGGAATTGCTGTCCATGGGCGACGGTATGCTCGTCTGCTTACAAGGGCAATAAAAATAAAGAATATTGCTGCTTGGTTTAATTTATTTATTTAGAGAATTCCTCTCCTCGTTAACATTATGCGGTACATTTTTCAATGCACATTACATATAACAGTTAGATTATTTGTAATCGTGACTCTTCTATCTTGGTTGATTCTGGAAATTATCATTTGTAGTATTTTTTTTAAGATTTAATAAAAGCGAAAACATTATTATAAACTGCTTACGACGAAATTTTGCAGACGTCCGGTGACCGCTAAAATGAACGTGTGTATGAATCGTCGGTACATACTAACAAACGAGAGATTTAACCGTAAATATATGTAGTTGTAGTAGGCTCCACGCTTTCATGAATACCTAAGATAACACTAAACTGCCTATGTATCTGTAATCCATACTGGCTCATTTCGACAAAGCGGCACGACACGAGAACCCTCTCATCGTGACCGCCGGTAACTATACATTCCCGATCCTGCGGACAGAATGGAAAGCAGTCGACGGCGCCCAAAACACGTCATTTCGGATCCTCCCGATCCACTAACGGTGCTTTTAGGTACCTCAAGCACCAGTCACCGTCTAAGGGCTCGACGAGTAAATTAACCCACAAACACAGCCCACTGAGTTTCTCGCGGGATCTTCTCAGTGGGTCGCGTTTCTGATCCGGCGGTAGATTCTGTGAAGCACGGCTCTTGCTAGGGTTCGTATTAGCAACGTCGTCAGGTTTGAGCCTTGTGAGCTCACCTACTAGTTAAGGTTACGCTGAAATAGCCTCTCAAGGCTATCAGCATAGGTAAGAAACAAAAACCATTCTGGCTATAATGGCTCTGTATTGGCTACCCGAGTTTCTTTAACCAACAGTATTTATCTATTTGTTTTAGTTGACGAGAAAATCTTCTGTTGTCACGGTGGTCTGTCGCCGGACCTGCAAGCTATGGAACAGATCCGGCGGATCATGAGGCCGACGGACGTTCCCGACCAGGGTTTGCTCTGCGACCTGCTCTGGTCCGACCCCGACAAGGACACGGCCGGCTGGGGCGAGAACGATCGCGGAGTCAGCTTCACTTTTGGAACCGAAGTATGAATTGTTCAATATTTACTGTGTCCACACTAGCACCTCTGTCTCTGGCACTATCATCACATAGACGAACACACACACACACACACACACACCTTTTTTTTTCCTTCCCATGCTGATAGCCTTTAGAGGCTATATCAGCGTTACCCTAGCGTGTAGGTGAGCTCTCGGGACTCAAACCGGAGGTGTTGCTAATACTGGCCCTAGCAAGAGCAGTGTCTCGCAGAATCTACCACTGGATCGGAAATGCGACCCACTGAGATCTGAAAAGTTTGAAGAAGGACAAACGATAGAGCAAAGGGACACTGCGAAGAGGCTCTCTGCAGATGGATACCACAAAAATCTCTGAAAACATGATGTCGAAAAACGTAATTATTCTAGGCAGTATGTTGAGCTCGTGATTCACTGAGAAGATCCGGAAAGAAACTCTGCGGGCAACACACACAGACGAAACGATAACAGTACCATAATTTCACGATGTGATTAGCAACATATTTTCTTTTTGGGATTATCTGTAGCTTTAGTTTATGTTTATTATATTGTATTACAAATCTGTCACGCATTCAATGAATAAACTAAATTTGTTGGATCTATTCACACGAACGCCAACAATAACTACGATGTTTCAACACTCGACTGGTTTTGTTTATTTTGTGTAACATGTCCATTTTGGACTGAGCCCTGTGTTGTCGCATTCCAGGTCGTGGGCAAGTTCTTGTCCAAACACGAGTTCGACTTGATCTGTCGCGCGCACCAGGTCGTCGAGGATGGATACGAGTTCTTTGCGAAGAGGCAACTCGTCACACTCTTCTCGGCACCAAACTACTGCGGGGAGTTTGATAATGCAGGTCGGTACGCGCAGCCTGGACCCCGTCGGAAGGTTCTCACCCTCGAACCATGACGACTGTGTCTCGGCGACCACAGCGAATGAGGCTGTACAAGTTTCAGCGGCTTTGCTGATCTCTCTAGCATTGCTGATGTCCATGGGCAACGGTAGTCACTCACGACCATGTGGGCGGCATGCTCGTCTGCCTATAAGGGTAATAACAAAAAAGTTATTGAAAAGTGGTTTTTTGCCTGTACAAGTTTCAGCGGCTTAGCTCTGTCTCTAATATTGCTGATGTCCATGAGCGACGGTAATCACTCATGACCAGGGGGCACGTATACTCGTCTGGCTATAAGGGTAATAACGAAAAAGTGATTGAAATGTGTTTAACGACTGTATCTCAGTGACCACAGCGAACGAGTCTGTACAAGTTTCAGCGGCTTAGCTCTGTCCCTAGCATTGCTGATGTCCATGGGCGACGGTAATCACTCATCACCAGGTAGGACGTATGCTCGTCTGCCTGTAAGGGTAATAACGAAAAGTGAAGCGGTTTTTTTTTGTTCGTTGAAGATGTAAACATAGTAAATGCAAAAGTTTTGTTAAAATTGATTTGCATCCGTCAGTAATGCGAGCTAATGAGTACACAAGCAACATTGAAGAAAATGTAGGTTTCAAAAATGCATCGTGAAATTCATCATCATCATCATAATCGGTTGCTCTTGGCAAAGCAGTTGTGTTCATGTGGAATTCTTGCTTATTAAAACCTTGACATATGTTTTCCATAGTTTGCGAACCGAGGCCCGGCGCACGCACTCGTTAAGTGGGGTTTCAGTAAGGTCTTTCACCTAATCAGTCCAGCGCATGGGGATTCGTCCACGAGATCATTTACCATTGACCCTTCCCTGAACAACAAGTTTCTCGATAGACTCTGCTGGCCGTCGCGATACGTGTGCAAAATATAGAAGAATCCTGGATTGCACTGTTGACGAGAACCTGTGAGAGATATGTACTTCTTTTAGGATCGAGGCGTTGGTGCGATGTTCAGTCCAAGATATACGGAGCATCCTTCTCCAGCACCACATTTCTAATGCATCGATCCTTCTTCTTTCTCTCTCTTTCACAGTCCAGGTCTCAACCCCATATAAAAAGATGGGGAACACCAATGCCCTTACCAGTCGGAATTTGGTGGTCTAGGTGATATTCCGGTACTTCCATACTTTTCCGAGTTTATCCATGGCCCATCGCGTTATGATTATGCGTCGCTTAATTTCGTCCTCCAAACCACCACTGTTAGTCACTAGTGAACCTAGGTAGGTATAAGATGAAACGACCTCACAGCTTGCAATCTCGGTAATCTCCGGGGTATTGTTATTGCTTCTGTCCACTATCATCATTTTGGTTTTGTGCCTGCTGATTCGGAGACCAAAACTGAAGGCAATTGCTTCGACGCGATTCAGCAATTCGATCAGATTTTTGCTTGTAGCCAGCAGAGTAGCATCGTCAGCATAACGAAGGTTGCACATATTCTTGCCACCAATAGGCACACCATCAGTCCAGTCATCTAGAGCGATAATCATCATAATTGTGAAATTACTAAACTATAAATTTGTCTTAACTAAACCTTGTTCCCTCGCACGTGACGAACTAACTGAAGGAGATCGTTGTGTGTCTTTCGTTTCCAGGCGCCCTGATGTCCGTGGACGAGACGCTGATGTGCTCGTTCCAGATCCTGAAGCCGGCCGACAAGCGCAAGCTGTACTCGGGCCTCAACATGGGCCGCCCCAACACGCCGCCGCGCGCACAGCCCAAGAACAAGAAGAAGTGAGTGAGCACTATTGCATGCCATTCTAGCTCTTAGCGCTTAGCTCATAGAGTCCATAGACTTGTGTCGCAAAACTTTTGGAATTATAGAGACCCCAATCTTTATATATAGGTAAGTGAAGCAACAAAAACTTTGTAACGCTTTTTACGAAAATTGCGTGGATATAGGAGTATGAAATTTTTCACACTTATAGAGAATATAGAGGAGTATTTAATTACGCATAAAAAATACATTAAATCAATAAATAAAAACATTACACACACTACCATGTATTTGACACAGACACACGCATGCGTACTATTTGTTTATTGTCAAACTTTTCTTATTGGATATAGTCTCTGGTCAAATTGAGAATAGATTAAATATTGGATTTTTTGGCAGGAACACGAGGAGTGAGTTGTGTGATTTGTTCTCTGAAAAAGTCTCAGTAAATGACCACCATTTTACTGAGATTATATTTCATCCCATATCATTTAATTTCATTCTAGTTGATTAATGTCTCAAATTAATCATTTCATTTAATTTCACTCCATATTATAATTTTTCATAAATATAAGAATATAAATAAGACATGACTTAAAGATCTTAGTTACCAGGTCATAAAAAAAAGATAAAATATTGTTTGTCTTTATTAATATTTGTCTAAAGTGTAGGCTTGGCGAAGTCTGTTATTATAGAAGCTATTATACTTCTATCTTCTTTGAAAATAGAATCATTTTAGTGTACAAACTTATAATTTCAATTAATTATAGTCGAATTTCGACTACTGCGGGACCACTAGTTCGTATTAATATTTCAAACCTAAAGAACGCAGAAGAAGGGGACGGTGTGAAAGAGAGCGATAGATAAGTTTGTCCCTTATTAGCTACTTTTAGTTGTTTAGGAGTCTCTGAAAAGGGTCGTCCTAGGTCCATTTTTTCAATTAAAGTCGAAATCCAATAATTTCGAAATGGGTCTCTATAATTCTCTAAAGGTGCGTCATTACTTATTTGCCTTTAAGGGGCATATTTGAGTATCAAAGAAGTCGAATGCCTTGGGTATAGTTTAACTTATGTACTCCCTGACATATTAGTGGACGGCATTTGAAATTGTCCTCCGTAATGCCACAAAGCTTGGAGTTAATCAGACGAATGTTACTCAAATTTAAGACAATTAAACAAAGATCGGGGCATATTAAGATGCTAAAAAGTCAAACCTCTATTGGTTTCTTAAATGTAAAACTTACACTTTGTTTTTCGATCGCAGATTTATATGATCCACGAAAAAAAATTACAGGTAGAGAGATACATTCATAGTATGTATTACTGTACGTGAAACTACATTTCATAAAATGGTTTATATACGTTAGCACATTTGGGTTTGTTTCGTGCACACAACACGCTCCAAAGAAAAAAACAACATTCATACATAATACAGATTATATTCCGTTTTTTTTAACCCAAAACATTCCCGTTTGCGTCATCTAAATCCTGTCATTTTGACGTTTGATTCTAGACGTCACTGTCATAATGTAGTTTTTTTTTTTTTATTTCGAATTGCTTGAGAATTTGTGTTTTTATCAAATATCCGATCGACTAACCCGGGTTATGATTTGTAGTTTACATTAAGAATTTATTAATAAAATGAGCTCAAGGCACGTCTGGTGTTGATCTGGTCACTGGAGCACGAGGGACGCCCGCTGATGCGAATCCGGGGTCTCGATTGCGTTCGAACAAGAACTGTCCTAACCGGAACCCTGGACCTTAGGCAGACGAGCATTCGGCCCACCTGATGGTGAGTGGTTACCGTCGCCCATGGACTTCAACAATGCCAGGGGCAGAGTCAAGTCGCTGCCTACCGTTTTTGGAGGAAGTGGGAAATACTAAAGTTAAAATTGATTATTCCACAACCTTTAAGTGTTTCCTTGTGTCTTCATTGAACTAGATTTTTACAACCGCATATAAACTGTTAGTATTTCGATTAAACCTCAGTCTGAATCATTCGTGGCCTATCAAATGTCTCCGGTACTATTGTGATGTCAATTAATGTAGCATGTTCAAGTTTAGTATGTCATTAGTACTTGTCTCTTTAACTGCTATTTGGGTCACCGACGAAATACGCGGCACACTGAAGTAATTATGTCGATTTCTCTCTTGGAATATCTATTAGACTCTGGGAAAGATGAATCTGAAGATACAGAGAATTAATATTTTATTTCTAAGTATTTCTAAGAGACTTAAATTAATAAAACATGCATTAAAAATAATAGAAGGCAAAGTTGGGAAAACGGTTAACTTAGTAATAGAAATCTTACTGGTGGTAGGACCCCTTGTGGTACCACCACCCCGCCTATGTCTGCCGTGAAGCAGTGATGCGTTTCGGTTTGAAGGGTGGGGCAGCTGTTGTACTATACTTAGACCTTAGAACTTATACCTCAAGGTGCGCGGCGCCTTTACGTCGTAGATGTCTATGGGCTCCAGTAACCACTGAACACCAGGTGGGCTATGAGCTCGTTCAATTATGAAAGCAATGAAAAATCGACGTAATTACTTGAGTGTGCGCCGCGTAAGACACCGGTGACCTACACGGCAGTCTGCGTGTTAAGAATCCATTTCGGTTTCTCGTTCAACACACAGTTTATTGTCTTTGAAACGCCACGACAAATCATCTTTTCGCATTAAAAGTGTACAATTTCCAAAAATATTTGAAATTTAGTTAATAAGCGGAATCATTTGGTATCACCAGTATTTTTGTCATAAATACTGTAAAAAGAGCGTAGTTTTGGTTTCTGTTTTTTTTTTAGTTTACCTATATTTTGACTACTATTAACAAAATTAATACATAATTTTAAATCTTATTTTAAAAGACCGATAATGTAACTGGTAAAAACTAAAAAATAAATTTAATATTAAAAATATCATATGTTTAAACCTTTAAAACACTCTCCTGTAAAATTTAGTAAGTTTTGAGATTATACATGTTTTAATGCGAGAAGATGACAAAATATGAAACTGTATTTTGATTGCGCTATGAATATGGACCTTAATGTGTTTGCAATAATATAATAAATGGAATTCGATAATGTTTGTTTCCGCTACCGCTCGTCCGGCAGTTAATGGCCCCACACGCGCGCCGTCCGCCGACACACGCATGGACACCCCTCCCTCACCGCTGTACACTTAAAATACCTTGAACGGGTTGATGTTTTAGTGAATCTTTGTTTCCTTAATTAAATGCATGAGCGTTAGAGTCTGGCAACCCAGCAACCTCCCATAAAGACGGGCAGTTGGCCTAAAGGTCTAGAAACCAGGCCATTAACTAAAAAAAAAAGACGGTCAGAGATTGCGTCTAAACGATATCCAGTAACAGAGAGAAACATTTAAATAATGGTTGTTACAGTTTTCCATAAAAAAATGCATTAAGGGTTTCGGTTTCCGGTCTCTCAGATTCGCTGTCGAGAAAATGAGTGTTAAAAATTCGCTTGGCCCCACTTGAACTGTCCGCTAGTGAAAAGGTCTCTGGTCAACGGCCCCTAATGCGGTCAGGCTAAGAGAGAAAAAAAAACAATCCAATATTATGTTTCACAGAAACTTGCAGTGAAATTGACTCTATGATCAAGTTTAGTATTTTAATGCTATCAAAGAAATCAAATACATGTCAGATTCAATAATATCTAATAGTTGTTACGCACAAATTACAATGGTTCCTTTTGTTTTGTTATTTAATTTGGTAATCTTAAAACTGACTCCGAAGTCGGGGAATTTATTTCGTAAAAAAAAACTACAAAACCGTTTATTTGTGACAAAACCGCACTTAAACTTGATATGGGGATAATAAATTCATCTAAAACATCAATTCACAGAAACGATCGTCGCAGAAACGTGTTCCAATTGATATTTCATCAAAGCAATAATTAAAAAAAAAAGAACCGTCCTTTTACAATGACATGACTTTAAAAGTTGGCTGTACGAGACAATATACCTTTGCGATGTGTCTATTTGAATTTGAAATGAGTGTTGCCGGTAGTGTCAAATGAAACACGTTTTGATAGATCTTTATATCATAATTATTCCATTGTTTTCTCTTTGTTTTTATGAAAATAAAATTTGTAGCATTCAATCAAGTATTAATTAAACAGCGTTATTAATCGCTCTCTTCGTATGTTATTTTAGAATTGGTCACACCGTAATTGTAAGGTAACATTTTAGATGTTTACGGAAAATGTAAAAAAAAAAATGTTGCCCGTTTAATTTATTTTTTTAATTTGTACAACAATTTTCATGTTTACAATTGTTGGAAAATTGTTACGCCTTTTTCTCCGCTTAATCTCGATCTGCCGTGTAAAGTGATTTTTACAGCTTCCTTTTTTATTAATTAATTTATGTGACATATCTTATTATGTATTTACCGTGCGTCTTCTGTGCGTGCGAATATCAGTTTGATTGATCCCGTATGCTTGTAATTCGAAAATAATAAATTCTGTTAATATAAGGTATCAATGTCCACATTTGTATTATCATGGCAACACTAGTCGTTATAATACAATGACAATCTATAAAACATGGCGGTATATAGAAGATTTATGAAATTTCCTCTACTTGAATGTAATTGGTAAACTATTTTAATATTTAAACTTCAGTTGGATCGGAATACAAATTAAAATAATTTGAGAAGGCATTTAATGAAAAGGCGCTCAGACACACACAATTAAACACATGTACATATTATAATATGATAAAAGGAAATATCTTGGTTCCTTTTCTTGTATTATGTATGAAGATTTACTGAGTAAAATATTTAAAAATAATGTAAGATTTTGTAGTAAGCGAAAAAACTGTAAGTTTGCAACGCGCGCAGGCGGCGATGCATTTGGATGGGAGTGACCAGTATATAAACATATATATTATATATGTGAGCACACCGTTCTTTAAACGGATGTTAGTACTTGTTCTTTATCGCGTGCTTTGGTTTTGTTCATTTTGTGTCTATAAACAATATCAAGAATCATGTGTGTTTTTTTTATTATCTCAAAAGACTTGGTTTGACGATGATTGATGTTAATTTTGTTATTAAATATCTAATTTTGTTGATAATCGAAAAAACTGTGCTTTGCCGAATTCGATTAAGATTTTTTAATAGAATTCCCGGCGAATTGATTCAACTCTGATATATTAATAGTATTTTTTTGGCAATACAAATACGATATTGCTTAGGTGAATTGGGGGAATAGATTGCATTGGTCGCGTAGCCTCATTCATAGATGTTTGATTTCGACGCTGCCTTGTAATCAGATTATTACATTCACGAGGTTTTCAGCTCTGTAAACTGAAGATATTGTTTAGAAATTATGATGGTCCTCAGGATTTTTGCTAAATCATCAATTTTGAAGAAAACGATTTTTTCAGTGATTTACATCAAGGCAATTCACGTTTTGTAACATGGAAACAAAATTGAATAAATAAATAAAAACGAGTGAAGACGTGTGCGCTTTCATACGTGACTAAGTTTACCATTGTAATATACCAAAATGGTAATTTTTAGAGATTCGTATGTTAGGCATGTGAAGTGGAATCTCATCCATCCTTCCCTGGTCAATGACCACTGTATCACTGCGCCCGGTATGGTGTGTCTTTGTCAAAGATACTCTACAATCAAGCTCCGGGTTATTATTATTAAACCACTTCTTGCCACAAGAGATTTCTCGGCCCTCGGTGTGGGTAATTGAAGTTACTTTTTCTCCCGGGTTCCTTTCGATTTGGTCAAAGAAGTATTTTTTTAAAATTGGGAAGCCTTAAAATCGCGTTTATCGATTTATTTTGACGAACGTATTATTATTTAACGAGCAAAACCAAAGTACTTTATAAATAACAAGGATTTAGAAAAGCTTTTGTGATGCGTCTTGTCTTAGCCGACCTGAAGATTTGTAATTTAAAAACGCACAGTAATGCTGATTCTTGCAAATGGTATAATTAAAAGTACTTATTAAATGTGTTTGAAGGTAGATGAAAATGAATAGGTTTTGGAACATTGCTGGCGACTGTTTTTTTTTTTTAATGTAACAATCACCATTGCTGTGCCATTCCACCGATAGTGTTACCAGATTGAAGAGTAAAATGGGGGTTGTGTTAAAATGGCGTTTCATTGCGTACTCACTCAATGTTTTTATTTCATTGCTGCCCGCGTTAGACTGAACCGGTATCCCATCACTGATGTGTTGGTTTATGAACAGAATTGTATAATAATTTTCTTAAATAAAATACTTTAAAATTATATATTGCTGTTTTATTACTTTATCGTGTGATAAGCTACTTATGTTACATTCGAGATAGCCATCATTACAAAAGTTGTTTTTTCTACCGGCGCATGCATTTATCCTTAATGATTTCAAAATTTTTTTATGAGACTACCCACATATTATAGAAATAAATATTATTTCTCGTTGACGTTTACAAGGAGTGTGTAATATGAGAAGGAGGTCTTGATTATCTGAAAGAGAAAAGCATTCAAATTACTTTTAATGTTATGCACTTTAATAAGTAAAATTATCTACATTTCAATTCGATAATACAATGTACTTGCACTGAATTGCATTAATACTTCATATACAATTTTTATTTAAGATAAAGTGAAATAATGTTGAAGATTCAATGCGTACTTTCAGATACCTTAATTTTTGTTAAAGTTAACCATTGGATGCGTCGTTGGGGAATAAAAAAGTATGTCCAATAAGTAGAATATTTACCACAACAAAAGTATGCAAGTCCATGGGTAGGAACCTCCCCGCGCGTACTACCACGGGCCTCCTGTTGGCGAGCAGCAGATTGAGGAGTAAGCGACGAGGAACTGCGCCCATGGTGTGCCAAGAGGATTGATAAGCCGCCGTGGAAACACGATCAGCCTGAATTAGGAATCTATATCACTATACTAATATATAAATCTACAGTGGTTTTTGCGGATGTTCCGTTATAACTACTGAACCGTGCATCCGATTGCCTTGAAACTTGGTATCCATGTAGAAAATACATGTACTTAATGGATAGGCTAATATTTATATGAGTGTTGGACTCCCTACACCAGTTGCGGGGGCGTTAATGATGAGAATGTTTGTGGGGGTGAGAAATAATGTTAATTTGAAATGCCCAGCGAAGCGGGCGGTTACAGCTAGTTTGGAAATAAAACTACACTTTTTTTTGTTTTTTATTGCTTAGATGGGTGGACGAGCTCACAGCCCACATGGTGTTAAGTGGTTACTGGAGCCCATAGAAATCTGCAATGTAAGTGCCGCCACCCACCTTGAGACATGAGTTATAAGGTCTCATTTTTAACAGTACTACCTATTTACATTTTCTTATTTGAATTTCTGACATTTAATTTTTCAAATTGCGTTTTTTTTTAAATAATTTACAAACTGAATACGGTATGTTTTCTTGGCCTATTTGTATCTAAATTTTCAAAGGATAAAACCGTTCTTCGTGAATGTGAGTATTGAGCGTAGAAAAACCTTAATGACAAATAAACATAAGTCGTCGTGGCCTAAAAGATAAGACGTCCGGTGCATTCGTGTTGAGCGATGCACCGGTGTTCAAATCTCAGGCGGGTAGCAATTTTTCTAATGAAATATGTACTCATCAAATGTTCACGATTGACTTCCATGGTGAAGGAATAAGATCGTGTAATAAAAATCAAACCCGCAAAATTATAATTTGCGTAATTCTGGTGGTAGGACCTCTTGAGAGTCCGCACGGGTAGGTACCACCGCTCTGCTTATTTCTGCCGTGAAGCAGTAATGCGTTTCGATTTGAAGGGTGGGGCAGCCGTTGTAACTATACCTGAGACCTTAGAACTTATATCTCAAGGTGGGTGGCGCATTTACGTTGAAGATGTATATGGGCTCCAGTAACCATTTAACACCAGGTGGGCTGTGAGATCGTCCACCCATCTAAGTAATAAAAAAAAATTTACCTGTAGTATAATTTGGTTTCCATAATAACAATAAACAAAGATATCGAGCGCGACCGCTACAAGGTATTCGACGGTGATCATATCGAATCTCTGAAAACGATTAAAAAAAGCTGGCGTAAATTTTTATTCGAGGCTAAAAATTTGTGATGAAGGCTTTAAAAAAAGGCAAAAAGAATTTCCCGTACCGGGAATCGAACCCGAGCCTCCTGGGTGAAAGCCAGGTATCCTAGCCACTAGACCATACGGGATATATTCGATTGAGCCAAAAATAATAACATATTGAGAATAACAGCTATAATTTCAATAAATAAAATTAAAATGCAAATCATTTTGAAATACATAATAATATGAAAAAAAACTAATATTAAACAGATGTATAAACTATATAGTAGTATATTTAGTCTGTAATACTGCACATGTTAAAATTTAATAATGTTTTTTGCTATTTAAAAGATCAGGGATTTACTCTTCGAGCATTCTAAAATACATATGTCAAAAATCTACTAGCGCTATAATGTTTTGTGGAAAGATCGCGTGTGACTGCGCCAGTAGGGGTGAGGATTGCTAACAACGGATCGAGCGCCCCCCGAGAAGTCTGGTGGTAGGACCTCTTGTGAGTCCGCGCGGGTGGGTACCAACCACCACCCTGCCTATTTCTGCCGTGAAGCAGTAGTGCGTTTCAGTTTGAAGGGTGGGGCAGCCGTTGTGACAATACTGAGACCTTAGAACTTATATCTCAAGGTGGGTGGCGCATTTACGTTGTGGCTGTCTATGGGCTCCAGTAACCACAACACCAGGTGGGCTGTGAACTCCTCCACACATCTAAGCAATAAAAAATAAAAAGTCTTAATATCTCAAGGCAGCTCTTTCCGAGTGCGTCTCGAGTTCATCACCATCTGAGACGCATGTGTGACGGTTGAGCGATATCATTAGCTAAAACATCATATCGATCTCATACATTTGTGTTATTGACCACAAGCTTTAACGATCCCGGCTCAGACGACGGCCAAGACGGATTCTTATGATCCACTCTCAGTGCTAATAGACGCTACGGCAGCAGCAACAAACCACAGGTGAGTTCGACGTGACACTTAACCTATAGCCCGCTGAGTTTCTCTCACCTGATCTCATTGGGCCGAGATTCCGGTCCGGTGGTAGATTCAGCGAAGCACTGCTCTTGCTAGGGCTAGTGTCGGCACCTACCTTTCCGGGCGTAGCTGGGATAGCCTCTTGAGCGAATAGATAGCGAACAAAATTGAAGTAATTGAATCCGAAATCGCACGTACCAACGTAGCAGCATACAGCAAAGTGCAAAGGTAGAGTGTGACTTGTACAACCCTGATCACCAGCAGCGGAGAAACGAAGCGCTCAAACTTATATTTGTATTCGTTTATGACTTGACACAGAGCCGCGCAGTCGCGTAGAGCATTGCAAGTCGCCTCGTCGTAAATCGTACTGTAGATGTCTGAAATAAAGAAAATAAAACCGAAGCTTTTGAAACCGGACTCAACGGGCCAAAGGTTGGGTTTTTCTGAAGTGTAATGGGTGTTGTGGCGGTAGCTATCATAGAAGATAGACAAATGCTTGAATCTCGCTTACGACATTTTCAAGATAAGCTTGCATATATACAAGTTCCGAACAACAACATTTGGACCGTCGGTTTACCGAGCAATTACACCCGCTCGGTGGAAGATCTTCCCTTCTTCGTAATTTAGTTTTTACTATCGCACCGCCCGCCACCGGAGTAGAGTTCATCCATACTAACTAGGGCCACTGCGTTCATTCACAGTGCGTTTCCAGATACTTTTTCTGCCATGTATCATCCGGCTTTGGAATGAGCTCCCCTCCACGGTGATTCCAGAGCGCTATGACATGTCCTTCTTCAAACGAGGCTTGTGGAGAGTACTTAACGGTACTGCTTAAGTCCATGGGCGGCGGTAACCACTCACCATCCCACAGATATCTAGGGGGCCACGGTACATAAAAGTAGGTATGATGAATTCAGCCTTATGATATTCGTAAAAATATAGTAGTATAGTCGCCGTTCTCGTCGAACCCGTCACTCGCGACGAAGGGTTTGGCGAGTAAACTGACCCACACACACAGCCCACTGAGTTTCTCGTCGTATCTTCTCAGTGGGTCGCGTTTCCGATCCGGCGGTAGACTCTGCGAAGCACTACTCTTGCTAAGGCTAGTATTAGCAACGCCTCCAGGCTTGAGTCTCGTGGGCTCGCCTACTTTTTAGGTTACGCTGACAGCCTCTCAAGGCTATCAGCTTAGGTAGGAAAAAAAACATCCTGTCGAGAAACGAAACCGGGAGCCATTGGACCGCACCACGGCGCTAATCACTAGACTGAGTTTTATTATATTAATACTTTTGATTTTACGAAATAGCGTCCGTTTAGAAAAATTGTGAACATTCGATATTCACTTACCGAATTGTGTTTTTTTCGGGAAAACGTGTACCTGCAAGTGTTAAACAAACAATCAGCTTATTGCTTCCACATAATATCTACAAAGCCATACAGAATTAAATTTGTAGCAAAAAAATTGTGACTTCATAGTACCACTACGCAAATACTTGGAGCTTTTGTAATTTTTTTTTTAATTAAACGCGTTTATTTAAATATATTTATAGCTATTTTCAATTCATTAACTTTTTTCTTACAGTCTACAGAATTTGTTGTCGAAAAAACGTAGTTACCCAACTGAACCTTATTTTTTGTACATTTCTGCAAAACCGCTTACCACTCTCTCGTCGTAATGATAGTCCGAACTTTTCATTTCAGCCACATTGTAGATATGATTATGTCTCTCATTCGACTTCAGTTCCCAAACATAAGATGCAAGACTGCTGTGTTCCACTCCGTGCCGTAACAAGGCGGTGTATCGCGCATTCCGCAGACCGCAACACAACAGGTCTAGCTGTCCGCAAATGAGAATTGAATTTGAAGCGAAGAATACTCCTGTAAAATTAGCATTTCGCTGTAAAATATGTGTGGACGAGCTCACAGCCCACCTGGTGTTAAGTGGTTACTGGAGCCCATGAACATCTACAACGTAAATGCGCCACACACCTTGAGATATAAGTTCTAAGGACTCAAGTATAGTTACAACCGCTGCCCTACCCTTCAAACCGAAACGCATTACTGTTTCACTGCAGAAATAGACAGGGCGTTGGTACCTACCTTTGCGGTCTCACTAAAGGTCCTACCACCAGTAATTACGCAAATTATTATAATTTTACGGGTTTGATTTTTATTACACGATGTTATTCCTTCACCGTGGAAGTAAATCGTGAACATTTGTTGAGTACGTATTACATTAGAAAAATTGGTACCCGCCTGAGATTCGAACACCGGTGCATCGCTCAACACGAATGCATCAGACGTCTTATCCTTTAGGCCACGACGACTTCAAAACGGTTCGCATAAAAATTCCATGATAATTTTATATATTTACATCGTAAATTGATGACCGAGTGAGCATAAGCAATGCAACGTGAAGGCAGCCTGCCTGGAAACATGAAATCGAAGTCTCAATTGGCTATTCTATATCTCAAACTGAAATTTGTGAATTGTTCGAGATTATACCATTATTTCGTTTTTACCATCGCACCGCCCGCCATCGGAGTAGAGTTCATCCATACTACCTGGAGCCACTGCATTCATCCACAGTGCGTTTTCAGAAATCTTTTTTACCATGTACCATCCGGCTTTAGAATGAGCTCCCCTCCACGATGTTTCCGGAGCGGTATGACATGTCCTTCTTCAAACGAGGCTTGTGGAGAGTATTAAACGGTAGGCAGCGGCTTGGCTCTGCCCCTGGCATTGCTGACGTCCATGAGCGACGGTAACCACTCACCATCAGGTGGGCCGTATGCTCGTCTGCCTATACGGCAATAAAAAATATATATAAAAAACTTCGAGCTATAATACTATACTACATGCGGGCTTAAAGCCCTTAAATAGATACGAAGCCTGAAATTGGGATGTCGTAGATGTTTGCCGATATTGCTCTAGACGCCCAGAAATTTGATTTATAGTGGTTATCGGAGCTCGTTGACAACCGAAAGACTGTCGCCACCTTCTCTAATACATATTGAAGTGTTCCGTGATTGCTTCGCTGCAGATATACGTAAGAACAGTATGGAAATGCCTTACCAAACTGTCCCATAGCGAGTCCGACAAACAGTTGCGTCAAACAAGACCTCAAAAAGACGAATTCAAAGAATGGAGACCGATTCACATCCATATACAACCAGTTTTTTATCGGTTGTTTAGTCCAAACTGTAAAATATAAATTAATACTGAATTGAAACTTCTTTTAACATATACAGATATAGTGTACGCATTCATTCATCCTATATATTATTATTGTTTACTTATTAATTTTTCGGGTGGTAAGGCGTTTTTTAATACGGGTATGCACCACCACCCTACCGGTATCTGGCGTGAAGCAGTAATGCGTTTCGGTTTGAAGGGTGGATCAACCGTTATACTGTAGAAACTGAGACTTTAGAACTGTTGTTTTAAGGTAGGCTACGGTAGGTCGTGAACTCCTACTACCACTTAAGCAATCAATAAATTAAACAGGCAACAGCATCATTTAAAAATAAGGTATTCATTGTTATGTGTTGTAGCACAAGAACACATACCCTGTCCTGGTTTTTTTTTTTTATTGCCTTTGTAGGCAGACGGGCATACGGCCCACCTGATGGTGAGTGGTTACCGTCGCCCATGGACTTCAGCAATGCCAGGGGCAGAGCCAAGCCGCTGCCTACCGCTTAATACTCTCCATAAGCCTCGTTTGAAGAAGGACATGTCATAGCGCTCGGGAAACATCGTGGAGGGGAGTTCATTCCATAGCCGGATGGTACGTGGCAAAAAAGATCTCTGGAAACGCACTGTGGATGACCGCAGTGGCTCCAGGTAGTATGGATGAGCTCTACTCCGGTGGCGGGCGCTGCGATGGTAAAAACGAGATGCTGGTATCATCTCGAACAATTCCTCAGAGCATTCCCCATGGAACATACGGTACAAAATACAGAGGGAACCGAAGTCCCTCCGCAGACCCAGAGGTAAAACTGGTTTTTATTTATTTATTGCTTACATGGGTGGACGAGCTCACAGCCCACCTGGTGTTAAGTGGTTACTGGAGCCCATAGACATCTACAACGTAAATGCGCCACCCACCTTGAGATATAAGTTCTAAGATCTCAGTATAGTTACAACGGCTGCCCTACCCTTCAAACCGAAACGCATTACTGCTTCACAACAGAAATAGGCAGTACACCCTTCATGTCACCAGTAATCCCTCGCTCCTTAAAGAAGTACCTGAACAGATACGCTGCAATTCACAGCACTCCGACGGAGGTCCTAGTTCCTCGCGGCGATCTTGTGCGCCCTAACCACCTTCGGATACGGAACGATATAATAAACCGTGGTTTTAATTTTGTACACGATTCGGGTAAAACTTAAGAGAGTAGAGATAGGCCGTTTTCCAATTACAGCACAAGAGCGCATTATGCGACATAATGCTCAACTAAGCTTCAGCATAATTCGGCATTGTGCGTGACTGAGTCGCATTATGCTCTGTAATTGGAAAACTACCATTAAGTAATGGTTAAGCATTATGCCGCATAATGCGCTCTTGTGCTGTAATTGGAAAACGGCCATAATAAGACAAATTTTACTCACTATGCACTATAACAGGAAGAACCGCGTACATAGTTACGCTAAACATCGTGCAAGCAGTGTAAATCCTGCCAAACCTTCGCGCAGATTGAAAACTATTCTCCATCGTCATATTCGTGAGTCCCCACGCCGAATAATATTTGAAGTTTCCGTCCATAAAGCTAACGAGGCCATACAGTTCCTGCCTATTAAAAGCGCAATAAGCCACAATGGCTATTGACACCAGAATCGGCAGGGAATCCGCTATATTGTCCAGACTAGACATCACGTCTTGCCATTCGGTGTACAAATGGACTACTAGACCAGCCGCAACGTGAGTCAAGACGAATAACACCATCCCCAAATAGATATTATTGATAAACACTTGATAGTTCTCTTTTGTATTTGGGAACCATTCCCAGCAGGCAGCGATCTTTAAGGGCAGTATTATGTAAGGCATGTATGATCTGACGTCTTGTTTTGGCGTCGCGTGTACTCTCATCGTGAAACATCAAACATTTGATCAGAAATCAGCGAAATGTTAAGTTGTTGATAACAAATAAGGTGTTGTTTACATTGCCAAAGAATTTGCTTACGTAGAAGAGAGAGTGGCTTTAATTTAGCTCGCACGATTTGAATTAAACCAACAAACATAATATGTTGTGTGTTAAATAATAGCTTGTAAATTGTTAGAAAATTTTAACCAAAAAATAAAATGAGAATTTAATCAACATAGTCGAAGTCAATTACATATGCATTATTAAGGATAACTAAAAAACACCTGATCAACTCTTGATGGGACCTCATGTGAAGCACCGGCTTTCAAATATAAAAAATAATCAATCAATCTAAAAAGTTCTGAGGTATACAAAAATAAAATATAAGATATGACCTCATTTTTTTAAGTCAAGTTAAGTTTAGGTGCCAGGAAGAATATTGATACTTACAATTTGCGGACAACATGCCCGGTGTTTGTTCGATTCACAAAACTTATATAAACTTCTCCTGGATGCTATACGAGATTCTTGTGAGTCCGCGCGGGTAGGTACCACCGCCCTGCCTGTTTCTGCCGTGAAGCAGTAATGCGTTTCGGTTTGAAGTGTGGGGCAGCCGTTGTAACTATACTGAGATCTTAGAACTTATATCTCAAGGTGGGTGGCGTATTTACGATGTAGATGTCTATGGGCTCCAGTAACCACTTAACACTAAGTGGGCTATGAGCTCGTCCACCCATTTAAGCCATAAAAAAAAAAAAAATAGTAATAGAAGGCAAATTAAAGTATATTCTTTCATCGTTGAACGTAAACACCACCTTAGTGGAAGTTTTACAAGCGAACATTGAAACTCGATTGAAAGTTTGAAATAGTTCGTAAGTAATTAAACGGATAATTACGAAAATCGTGATTGACTTTAAATTAATGGTCTAGTTTTGCAATTTTAATCTCGTTCGAAAGGAAAATTGCCGTTGAATATTCTAAAAGGGTTAATGGGTTAAATTGTGTTTTATTCCAATAATTAACCGTGTATTGCTGATATTAGGTGGTGATAGGAGTCCATAGACCTGACATCTAGGATGCCACCATCCACCTTTTTATTTTTTATTGCTTAGATGGGTGGGATACAAGTTCTAAGGTCTCAAGTATAGTTACAACGGCTGCCCCATCCTTCAAACCGAAACGCATTACTGCTTCACGGCGGAAATAGGTAGGGTGGTGGTACCCATCCGCGCGGACTCACAAGAGGTCCTACCACCAGTAATTACGCAAATTATAATTTTGCGGGTTTCATTTTTATTACACGATGTTATTCCTTCACCGTGGAAGTCAATCGTGAACATTTGTTGAGTACGTATTTCATTAGAAAAATTGATACCTGCCTGCGGGATTCGAACACCGGTGCATCGCTTCAAAACGAATGCACCGGACGTCTTATCCGTTAGGCCACGACGACTACTAGAATTATGATACCCCAGATCCAGTTGCATTGTTTACTATCTCATCTTTCATTTCGCAATGCTTACTAAACCGGGCCCGAAGTTCTTAGGGAGGTAGAATTCGGGCAAGCTCCCGAAGGGACACAATCTTGTAATTATTTAAGTGAATAAACGATAAGAAAAGTGGGCATTGTTCATTAAGATTTCTTTATTAAATTAATAATTTTAAAACTATAACAAATTATTAAAAACAATTAAAAAAATGTTCATAATCAGCACGTAATAAAAATTTAATTCATAACAACTGCATGAAAATGTATCATTTCAAAACAGCGAAAAATATTTTTAAACCAAAATACTAAAACGACATTCATATTAAAGTTTCTGGAAGTATATCTTTTTTCATTTTAATTTCCATAAAAATATTGATCAGAGAATGTGATCGTTTATAATGGTAAGCTTGATGTATCACGTTGATTCAGCATCCCTGAAAGTTATTTGAAAATGAATTTCGCTCATACACAGACGCAGTAATCATCTTGCTTGAGAGAGTTCTCCGCAACACTCTAGCCAAGCGATGCACCAAACATATATTTAGGAGGCGACAATACTATTTCGACTGATAAAACCGATATTTGGTTAAACTAATCAAGATTACTTTTATTGTAATATTCATATTTCAAATACTACCCTCGAATCAGAATCAGGCGTAATTTATTAAATGTAAATGTTCACAATTGTTTTCCCGGTGACTGACCTTTAAGTTAACATCTTCTTGTGCTATGTGCAGCAAGACAAGCAATTAAATTTAAATCAATCAGACGTCAAACGCAGGGCTTACCAATGAACCAATATGACATAAATTAGCAACAGCCCACTGACTATCTCGCCGGATCTTCTCATTGGGTCGCGATTCCGATCCAGTAATAGTTTCAGGGAAGCACTGCTTTTACTAGAACTAGTTTTAGCAAGTCCTTCCAGGTTGAGCTCCAAGTTGAGCCCTACCAAATTGTGCGTAGTAGGATATTACTGGTGGTAGGAGCTCTTGTGAGTCCGCACGGGTAGGTATCACCGCCCTGCCTATTTCTGCCGTGAAGCAGTAATGCGCTTCGGTTTGAAGGGTGGGGCAGCCGTTGTAACTATACTTGAGACCTTAGAACTTATATCTCAAGGTGTGGGTGGAGCATTTACGTTGTAGATGTCTATGGGCTCCAGTAACCATTTAACACCAGGTGGGCTATGAGCTCGTCCACCCATGGCCACGACCTGGTATCGGTACAAACACTCACTTCTCCTTAGACCTTCGTTGAGCGATCTTGTAAATCTTCCTCAACTCCAGCAGCGCTCTCATGATTACGACAAGCTGCTGTTCAAAGTCTTCAGACCCGGCGTCCACCGCCAGACCCTTCTGCTTGCATATCTTCACGTACAGACTCCATATAGCCGACCGCACGTGGCTTAGCTCCACGTGACGCCTGGCTGCGGTCTCCTTCAGTCGATTCAAAGCCAATTCCCATTTTATAACTCGGCTTCTCACTTTGTCGTAACGCCACTGCAACGATAAGTGTTATTAGCTATAAACTACCATTTTACTGAAACAATTATGATAATGTCATTTTGTTTTTATTTTATTGCCTAAATGGGTGAACGAGCTCACAGCCCACCTGGTGTTAAGTGCTTACTGAAGCCCATAGACATCTACAACGTAAATGCGCCACCCACCTTGAGATATAAGTTCTAAGGTCTCAGTATAGTTACAACGGCTGCCCCACCCTTCAAACCGAAACGCATTACTGCTTCACGGCAGAAATAGGTTGGGTGGTGGTACCTACCCGTGCAGACTCACAAAAGGTCATACCACCAGTAATATCCTACTACGCACATTTTGGTAGGGCTCAACCTCGGGCTCAACCTGGATGGACTTGCTAATACTAGTCTTAGTAAAAGCAGTGCTTCCCTGAAACTATTACTGGATCGGAATCGCGACCCAATGAGAAGATCCGGCGAGATAGTCAGTGGGCTGTTGCCAATTTATGTCATATTGGTTCAGTGCTAAACCCTGCGTTTGACGTCCGATTGATCTAAGTTTATTTGCTTGTCTCGCTGCATATAACACAAGAAAATGTTAACTTAAAGGTCAGTCACTAAAAGATTATTACTACACTGGCTAAAGAAAAAAAACCCTCACCCTCAAGTTAGCCAGGGTGTTATTTAAGCCCATTATAAACAGCTTCTTCTCCTCAGTTAAAGCTGCTATTTCTTGTCGAGCATTCTCTAGCATCTCCAGGTCTCGCTCTTGACGGTCCGCTAGAGTGCTTTTAGCTGCAGCTGTTGAAATATTATCAATTCGCAGAATCTACCACCGGGTCGGAAACGCGACCCACTGAGAAGATCCGGCGAGAAACTCAGTGGGCTGTGTCTGTGGGTCAATTCGCTCGTCGAGCCCTTCGTCGCAAGCGACGGGTTCGACGAGGACAGCGACCGGGCCACTACACAGGGTCTCGCGCTATGACATGTCTTTCTTCAAACGAGGCTCGAATGAAGTCCGGAGGGACAGGTGGCGGCCTAGCTATGACTTTGGTATTACTGATACCTGTTACTGACGGCGACCACCATCAAGTGGATCGTATGGCAAAAACCGGATAACTTCGGTGTGGAGAGCAGGAAACCAATTATTCCAATTGAGATTTCAGCCTTGTCTCAAGTCAGGATGCACAATTCATATTGTAGTGTTAAAGGAATCCAATGGCAATCGAATATCAGGTAGGTGCAGAACCAACTACTGACTAACTTTAGCGAAATGCGATTATGAACAATTTTTAACCACACGAAAGAATATAGACTACCTTCCATCACTTTGCTCAGCACGGTACTTTGTCCGGGCCATATAAAGCCCAGGTGAGCGAAGCTGCGGGCGAATATATTATTCGCGGAACTTTATTCGCTAAATCTAGAAATACGCTTGTCTAGTTTAACTTTTTTCATTTTTTTATTGCTTGGATGGGTGGACGAGCTCACGGCACACCTGATGCTAAGTGGTTACCGGCCCATAGACATCTAGAACGTAAATGCCGCCGCCCACATTGATATATGAGTTCTAAGATCTTAGTATAGTTACAACAGCTGCCCCACCCTTCAAACCGAAACTGCTTCGCGGCAGAAATAGGCAGGGTGATGGTACTTACCCGTGTGGGCTCACAGAGAAGTCGTAACACCAGTAAAAAAACTTAAAAGTCTTATGCAAGGTTGCGTATCCTTTCACCGATACCCACAGGTCGGATCGGCCCCTTTACAACTCACCCAATGCTTCGTATCTGTTCAAAACGTCTAAAGGTTGCTTGAATTCAGGATATTGATGGACCACTGCCATTAAATAATCCTAAAAAAATATGAAACATTCGTAATATTCATTTTATTATTTACTTTCAATAATAGTTAGACTGGACCTTCCAGAGTTCTTTTAACTTATATCGTTTGGAACCTCTGGGTCTGCGGAGGGATTCCGGCTCCCTCTGTATTTTGTACCGTATGTTCCATGGGGAGTGCTCTAAGGAATTATTCGAGATGATGCCATCATCTCGTTTTTACCATCGCACCGCCCGCCACCAGAGTAGAGTTCATACTACTTGGAGCCATTGCGGTCATCCATAGTGCGTTTCCAGAGATATTTTTTGCCACGTACCATTCGGCCATGGTATGAGCTCCCCTCCACGGTGTTTCCCGAGCGCTATGACATGTCCTTCTTCTTGGCTTGTGGAGAGTATTATGCAGTAGCGGCTTGGCTCTGCCCCTGGCATTGCTTAAGCCCATAGGCGTCGGTAACTACTCATCATCAGGTGGGGCGTATCCTTGTATGCCTACAAGGGCAATGAAAAAAAAAATTATCTAAAGACTTCTTATTTGCTACTATCTTTCTACCTCGTAAATCGTATAGTCTTTGACTTGTTTCTCCATCAACTCCTTGACTTCCGTCATTTCTGCGACCCGCAGTCTCATAGCGTCCGTTTCTCTTGTCTTCCGTTCGAGGACTTCAGCATCAGCCGTCATTTTCCTTTCGGCGCGGTCACGTTTTTCTTGATTCTCACGGATAAACTATATTTTGGGAACGCAATATCTATATAAATTTGGCGATTTGACGGTAGGTACCTACTAGTGGTAACGCGTGAGTCGGCACGGATAGGTACCACCCACCACCCTCCCTAATTCTGCCGTAAAGCAGTAATGCGTTTCAGTTTGAAGGATGGGGCAATCGTTTTACTGTAAAATTGAGATTCGCCTCTCAAGGTGAACAGTGGCATTTATGTTGTTGATATCTACGTATTCCGGTAGTCATTTAACATCAAGTTAGCCGTGAACTCGACGATGACCATACATTTTGTCAAACACGATTTTTTAATTATTAAGAGATCTAATTTTAAACATTTATCTATCTAAGTTTAAATTATTGTTAAATGCTTCAAAATACGAAATAATATAATGAAAAGATCATGTAATGATCGCAATTTCTCTAATAACCTTATTAAAACTTATAAAAGACTCCTTGAGTAGCGTCTCCTTACTGCGCAATTCTTCCCACTTGCCGTTCATCACAGCTCTGTTATTTTTCTCTTCCTCTCTTTTGATGGCCAATTTTTCCTCTGCTTCCATTAAATCACGTCGTGCTTGCTCCATCAACACTTGAGGGGTAGGTCGCGCCACGTCCCATATCGGATATTTTCTATAGACCCATTTAGATAATAATTCATTATATTATTTACGAAAAATATATTCTTTTTTTTTTGGTGATTTATTATGTACTAACTTCCAATAACCCCTTTTGTGACTTTTGAGCTTATTTAAAGATATAGTATTGTTTTTGACACAATAGATAGAAAATTGTTAAGTGAATACGAGATTGTAATATTATAATATTCGGGGTTCTTAGCCATTTTATAAACATAGCATATGAGGTATTTTCCCGAAACGTCATAAACTAATATGTTTTAATACGAAAAATTTTATTCACGTAACTAAGCATAAATATTTCGTAGACCCGCCATACGATACAAAAGTACCCGTACTGGGGTCCCTTCGCTCTGGGTGGACCCGGAACGCCAGCTGTTTTTTTATTTGTCATTCACCACGACCTGTGTTTCTTTTCAATACTGATTTTAATTCGTCGAATTTGTTGATCCTAAATCTTGTGATTCAGCTCTAGCCGAACGTTTGCCGCGAGAAAGTTGTCAAGGATAAGGAAGGTAGTCTTGGAAAGCGACTACTCATGAGAGTTTGGTTATTCTCACAAAAGTATAGGTACTCACTTTACCATGCTTGAGCTTTCCATCAGCGATTTAAAATATTCCGCCGTACATTCCACGGGTGGACCGTGCGGTATAGCAATAGGCGCCAAATCTTTTGTTGTTTTCTTCATTTCTGTTATTTTGCACGAGTTTGTATGAAAACAATGTTTTATAAAGTTAAATCAAATCGAATATTAAAATCTCTTGAATGAAGCTATATTTTGTTAGGTTGCTAGGCGCTAATAATTCTCTGAGAAGTGATCCATAGTTACAAAATTAATACTATTACAATAAACATACAAAATTCATCGATCGAATTGGAATTGGAAGAGGAATGGATTGTAACTGGAATTACATCAAATTGGAAGAGATAATAATAGTAAGGCTATCCCAACACCTAATATGTGGAAGAGAGAATGCATCACGTTGAAATTCCCAAAGTATTAGAATAAATGTAGTGTTTATCTATATTTCATTGAACTTATTTTTCTCATTTTATATTTACTTGTTTCGCTCTACGTTTCTTAAAATCGTTTTGGCATATGAATTTATTGAAACTTGTCATATGAATTAGATTTCCTTTGTCAGTAAAACAAATGCCTTCTGTCACTCATAGTTACATCAACTGTCACTGTCATTTTACCCGCGTGAAGGGAAATGAATAAAATGATCAACAAAATGATTTAGAGGTTACCTGAGTTATTTGAGAATTTCTGTTTAATAACTATTCTCTCTCTGTAATACGCCGAACATATTCAATTATTTACACACCTGCTTATTGAAAACACTTAAAATTTCACCTAAACATAAAATGACGTTCGATATGTCTTTCTACACTGGCTTAAGCTGCGGTATTTGTATCGGCCTATCAATATTTGCGATTCGAAAGTACATGAAGATGTTTTCTAATGCCAGTGAAACTGTTAAAAAGGTATATTAATATTTTATTTTTTTCATAAAATTAAATTTATTTTTTTCTATAAGAATAACTATATAATTTACCTAAGTTGCTTTCCAATACTAATAAAAAATTTATATCTTTGCAGTTTGTATCGAATGAAGAATACAAATTGGTTCTAGTTGTCCGAACAGACCTAAGTATGGGTAAAGGCAAAATAGCAGCTCAATGCTGTCATGCGGCAGTCGGAGCCTTTGAGAAAGCACTAAAAAAAGACCCTGAAGGTTTGAAAGCCTGGCAAATGACAGGACAGGCCAAAGTGGCCCTTAAAATAGACTCTTTAGAGGAAATAAAAAAAATTGCAGACAATGCAAAGAAAATGGGCTTAATCACATCTTTAATACGTGATGCGGGCCGTACCCAGATTGCACCAAATTCAATAACAGTTTTGGGTGTAGGACCAGCACCGAAAGACATTATAGACAAAGTCACCGGTCACCTTAAGTTGCTGTGATAATTTGTTTTCAAAATTGGTTTATTTTAAGTAAATTTATTATTTCTTATAAAAATTTTGACGTTAATCATATGGATGTAATTGTAAGTACTACTGAGAGTGTTCCATACAACCTTACACCATACACCTTGGATTACATTTCTTCATGACTGGACTTCTCTTAATATAAAATAAGAATAGTGTATTTATTGGTGCTTGCAAAAATGTGGCAAAATTGTAATGTAACCAAGCTATGAAGATTAGTCAAATCTATGGAATGAACTCTATTTTTATACAGCACAAAATCCTGGACCCTACGAGATGGTAAAAAACACAGGACACGTTTGGAGTGTGGTGCTGGAGAAAAATTTTTTGAATAACGTGGACAGAATGTTGGACCAAGGTGTCCATTTTTGAACAAATAAAATAGTCAAGCACCTCTTCTGCACAGTGTGGTCTTTTATCCTGGCTTTTTTGGACAAGTGCCTGAGGTGGAATCTTTCTATTGAGTGCTTGGTGGTGCAGCCCAGGGTATAAAGTGTGTGGCCGCACAACAAATCTCCCACAAGGTGTACTGGTCAAGGCTGCAACAGATTATCCTCTACATATAAAGACAGACGTGCAGCTGGAAAGCAGGACAACCACTCTGCCAAGAGTGTAGCAATGAAGGAGTGTGTTAGTGTAGAGTTCTAGAACTATTTTTGAGCATTGCACAAGGCCTCAAAGTATGGTCATTAAATTTACTGGATTGTTTATCAACTCCACTACTCTTGTAGTTCCTAAAATAATTTGTAAAGAAAGCCAGTGAACACCCTATGTGTCATGGGATAATAATTCAAAAACTCCTCTTTGCTAAAAACAAAATAGATGCAGCTTTAGAACAGCGATTTACATATTTTTTGAAGGCTGGTCATTGACCTACCTTATTCTGCTGTATTGTGAAAGCTGATTAAAACACTAGTTCGCTCAGCATTTAAATAAAGTAGAAAAAGAAACATGTTTTGTATTGAATGCAAAAATGCAAATTATATTTCATTTAACTGATATCAAGTACAGTTGTTTTATTCACTTGTTTTTATGTAAATCTCCAGTTGTTGATATAAACATTTGAGTAAACAAAGACTTCAGAAAAAAACGAATATTGAAAATAACCTTTATTATATTACATACAATTTACCTGCTAAATGATAAGACAGAAAAAAAGTAGTTTTATAGTAACAAACTATTAAACTAAAATGCATTTTTGACAACACTGACAAATCAAACTTACGAAGTTATTTTTTAATTTTAGCAGTAATATTGACCTTCACACATTTTATGTTACAAAGTAATCATATTGATAATATGCATTATTTAAATTCAAAATGTCAATGCTATCGAAACATATTACAAATAACTTTTTCATTAAACTTCTTAGTGCCGGAGAGTAGAATATAAAGATCGGGTTTGAATTGGAATGTATCAGAACAAAACAGTTTTTTTTCTACATTTAAAGAAGAGTCACTTCTGTCATGTATGCAGAGTTAGTTGCACGCATTTTCTTTTTCATACGACGATAATTTCAAGACATTGGTTTAAGGTACTTTAATATTAGGTGACTATGAAACTTAATAGCTTACAGAATAAAATACGAATAAAATATTATTTTTCATTTACCCTCAAAATAGTAGTAGTAAAAGTGGCTATAATTTTCACTCAAGTTGTTGATAGTCATAAAATCAAATACACTACTAATGACTACTAATTGTACTTGTTGCAACTTTTCTTCAACAAATGTATAATAGAATAAATTAAAAAGTCATAGCATTGAATCTAGTAAGAAATCAGTGCAAATCAAAAGTAGTTAACACGACGAAAAGGATTCATATTTTTTATTTATTTTCAAATTTACTGTTCTGTAACACATAAATAAAATAAGAAACATTATCTTAACTTTTTTTGTGATATATAGCATATACCATTGACCGTTAAAACTAATACAATCAAATTCTATAAAATATAACATTTTTCAGCCTAAAAGTTTTAAACAATGAACATCATAATTTTTTTCTTTTGCAATTTTAGGAAGACTGATTATATTTAAGCAACCATTTCAATTTATCACCAATATGAATAGTTGCAATCGCACGTAACAGATAAAAAAGAAACAAACAAAACTTTAACATTTGGTTAGATAATGATTTTATTCAAAACAAACAAGAATGTTGCCAATTTAAATATCTTATTGGTATATTAGGCGGTAGTTTATTCAATTTATGGATTACTATGCTGAAATAATTAGAACATATTTTTCTTTACTAAAACGGGAATTTCTTGTGTGTACTTGCTAAAATTTAGCAAGCATAAAATTGACATGAACATATTGATTGATTTTATTTAATCATGTGGCAATTTTGTTTATATATTAACTCATAATAATGCATGTTGTACAAAAAAATGTCATAACTAGTCCTACTTGTGTTATAATAATTAATCCACAAATCTAGTGCACTATATAATCTGAGCACTAGATTGAATTCCAAATTTAAAAAAATGCAATTCAAACAGAAAATATTTGGGCATAGTAGAAAATACTTCTTAATTTTATTATATGTCAAGGTGACCACAAAAGTAGCAAAGATTTATAGATTTCCAACAAATCTCCTATTAACATAATTTCAAGTTCACAATAACAAAATTTGTATTTGTATAAATGTAAAGTTTATTAAAAATCGGTGGTATACATATTTAGAATATTTAATAAATATCCAGTATATGTTGGTATTTTTAAAGCTCTGTCATCGTTTTAAGGCACACTTAGTTGCATTTATATTTATAGTAGGTACTCAAATAAGCAAAGCCCTAATTCTAAAATGGTAACCTCAGTGTGAACAAATCTCACTTATCGGGTCATTTTTTCCTTTTTTTTTGTTTTACCATAGTATCGTTCACAGTAGGGCTTTTAGTTCGATCAGATTTTTTTTAAAGTACATACTGAATATTAGACCATTTCCAGATATCAATATTTGCTCAATGACCAGATATACATATTATTATAAATACATACATAAAACCATAGACAATTTAACTGAAGTGACACTGGTAAAATATAAAAAATCTGAGAAATGACACTCCCAAAAAAATAGGAATTTTCAAATTAGTACGCCAATAACAGATTTTTATACTATTGATATTTTTAATTCTATGAGCACAATGGTCGCATTTTGAATTTTGAACATTTACAAGTTTTTCGCTTTCATTTTATGATGGATAAGCCACTGTTTATGAATTCGTTTTTTTATCAGTGATTACCGAATTATTGACTACGAATATGACCATATTTTGTTAAAGTGGGTAGCATCTTTTGGTATTTGTTTCGAGATGTTTTAGGAAAATTTCTGAGTAGTTCCTAGTCTACTTGAGAAGCTTCTCCCCTGGATATCCTTAGCACTGGCGTAGTGGCTTAATTATTTATGTAACAGATGCTGAAGACATACTTGACTCAGTTTTCAAAACTATAATATATGACTTTCATTCAATTAAAAAAAAAATTATGTCAACAATCAAAATCTGCGACCATTGTTATAATTTTACTTATAAATGTTAGTACAAAATTTTAAGTAGTAAAACCCTTAAGACACCTGGCTGTGGCAGTCGCCCAAGGTATGAGATGCACCCATTCGTTGAGACTGTCAAACACCACCTGTCGTACGGTAGCGGTACTACCACAGACATTTAGTGAAGTTGAGGAAGCTGTTGGCTCAACTATCATTCATTTTTATACTTTAGATAAAAGCCTTATAAAATCAATGTATTATCTATATATGACAAAATTGTTATTTTAGACATTCTACATTATTTTTTAATCAAAACAAATCTCTTCCTAGCTTTTTCAATGACCTAGTACTACAAAATTAAGTACCAGCAGGTTAATTTGAGAAAAAATCCTATTTAAAAAAAAACTGGTTTCAAATCCTAATACGTAGCATAAACTTAAAACTAATGTAAAGTAAATTAACTCTAACAGTTCTTTACATATTTTGTATGTTACCATACATTTTAGTAATAAAAACTACGTCTTTCATTTAAGTATATAAAAATTAAATTGAAATAATTTTATAAAGTAAAAACTGTACTTAGTAAAAATTAACACAAAAACTAAATCTAAATACTTAAAATCTAAAATATATAAAAACGGGTCTCTTCAAAATTGTATTATTACTTACTTTACTTACTTATTAATTACTTTTATATTTAACCATAATTCAATTGTTTATAATAAATTTTGTTTATGTTGTGATTCCCGCAACCACGGCAAATTCGTAATTATTCGAGTGAATATATTTATTATCTGTGTTAATTATTTTACTAAATATATTTATAATCTGTATTTATTTTTCAACTAAATATAATTTATCATTATCTGTGTTAACTGTTTCCTTTTTTTTACATTAACTTACGCTGCTGAGCTTTCTTTACCTTCCAAGTTTAACATCACAATTTTAATCAAAAATTTTTAGATAAAAAATAATGTACTTATATAATGTAACTTAATTAACAAAATTAAAAACAACAAAAACATAATCTATCTAAAATTAGTTACCACTACATAATAGCGTGATCAATAAATTGTCACAATTAAAATCTTTTTATGGCAATCGATCGTAGACATCACGTATAGTGAAAAATTCGATTAATATTTTTTCAATGTTTACATTTAAATAGACAATAATGGCCGGCCAGCAGAGGCACAGTTCTCGGAGAGTAAATTATTTCCTCTGAGCAAGTGAAGTGAATATATCCGAAGAGAATAGTCTAATTTATACCGAGCTGGGCCAGGAACCAGGACCAGGGTTCTCGAGTGGAGATCCCGCAGCTGAAGACGTAACTAGGGACGTCCCCTGGCAGGTGGTGCGATGACCTCCGAACGGTAGCCGGCAAGAAGTGTATGAGGAGAGCGGTTGACCGGGCTCAGTGGTTTGGATTGGGAGAGGCCTATATGCAGCAGTGGACGGCTGTGGGCTGTTGATGATGATGATGGATCAGGACACTGGTGATTCTCAAGGGGTCCATCAAGTGGCTTCATAGTCCCAGCACCCTTTGCCTTCAACAACCAAATCGCACTGTACGTAATGTCATACAATCGGAACCACCTGACGTGTGTCAGTTGCATTCAAAAATTCACTTTGATCAGTAGATCTTCTTTTTTTTTATTGCCCTTGTAGGCAGACGAGCATACGGCCCACCTGATGGTAAGTGGTCACCGTCGCCCATGTACTTTAGCAATGCCAAAAAGAATTCGTCTATCAACGCTTGAAAGAGAAACGTGACTAAGCGACAATGCATGAACTTTACAGTAGACTAATTTAAAGTTGAAATTAATTTAAAATATACCTGAGAAATATCTGAAAAAAAAATCTATTTTAACGAATCTAGCTGTAGGATTGAAATGATTTTAATAGACCTAGAAATCTATTTTATTTGCGCATCGAATATGGTTATTGCCTATCATTTATGTACAAAAAGCAGTTATTGTCGCTTAGTCACGTTTGCCTTTCAAGCGTCGATATGTTCCGTATCGATTCCAAGCACATACCGTCTCTATTCGCTGGCATGTTTCGTCGGTTTGGCGTCGAGCGTGTCGATGTACTGTCGGAGGCTGGCGACGCGGCGCTGGTAGCCGTCGGCGGCGAGCTGGTCGTGCTTGTGGAAGTGGGCCGCCTGCTCCATCATGCGCAGCATCACTTCCAGGCCGGTCTTCACCGTTTTGGCTCCGATAATTTCCAGCTGAAACGATGTAATGTTGTCAAGCGCGAGTCGCTCGTTGGACGCGCACTGACCGTACCATAGACATTGCACATACTGTTACACCGGTAAGAGTAACGCCATCTATCGCCGAATAGTCGAACGAATATTGAAGGACCTAGAACGCTCGAGAAGTACTATTGTCAGATAGCGGGAACTACTACTAGAGATGTGTGGAATATTCTCGATAATTCTAGGGATGAGGCTATAAAAGCGTTGTAGAGATGGCGCGCAGTCATTCTTACCAATCCTATGTACCAAATATATTTATCTAATCTATACATTATTTTTGTAACGACAATTGCACCCTTTAAATAAGACAAAATCTGTATCGCCGCAGAAACAGGCCAGACCGTAGTAACTACTCCATTTTCATTTTGCCTTTTTTTTTATTATCGGATACGATGAACGAGCTTATGGCCTCTTGGTGTTAAGACCATAGACATACAACTTGAACGACGTTACCCACTTGAGACTTGAGGTTTATGTCTCAATGATATAGTAATTGCTTAAATTTGAGGTCGTGTTAAGTGCAGTGTTGGTCGGAGCGCGAGGACCCACCGGCGGCAGGGTGAGGGTCTCGGCGTCGACGGGCAGGTCGCCGACGGTCTCCAGCTTGATCTTCTTGAGGAGGCGCGACTGCGCGGGCCGGGGCCGCTTCCTGGCCGCGCGCGCGCCCTCCGCCTCCTCGTCCTTGCACATGTCGCGCGCCGTGCACGAGCACACCCGCGCGCCCACCGTCTGCCGCCCCAGCACCGAGCCGCTGGAACCGACACCACACAGCTCAGGGAAAGAAAGAAAGAATTAATGAATGAATTAATGAATGAATGAATGAAAGAAATCATTTATTCGCCAAGCATAGTGAAAATGAGTTATTACATAAGTTAAAAGCAGCGTGTATGCTTTGTCATTAATTGACATTATTATATAATTTACCATTCATTCACCTAATAATTAAAAAATCCATTTATTTTCAATGTCGTCCCTAAGAAAATCATTTATGTGATAATAATTCTCACTAATAAGGTTATGTTTTTGTTTTTTTCTTAAAATGAAAATCGTCTAGGGGTCTTAATTTCTTTGGTAGTTTATTAAATATCCTAACGCTCATAACTAGTATACTATTTAAACTTTAGAACTTATATGTCAAGGTGTGTGGCGCTTTTACGTTGTAGATGTCTATGGGCTCCAGTAACCGCTTAACACCAGGTGGGCTGTGAGATTGTCCACAAATCTAAGCAATAAAAAATAAAAAGATGCACGACATGTGAACCCTCTTGTCGTGGCCGCTGGAAATTACATACCCGATCCCGTAGACCGAATGGTAAATAGTCGACGTCGCCCAAAGCACGTCATTACGGGTTTTCCCGATCCATTAACTGTGCTTTTAAGTACCACAAGCACCGGTCACCATCCTCGTCGAACCCGTCGCTTGCGACGAAGGGCCCGACGAGCGAATTAACCCACAGACACAGCCCACTGAGTTTCTCGCCGGATCTTCTCAGTGGGTAGCGTTTTCGATCCGGTGATAGATTCTGCAAAGCACTGCTCTTGCTAGGACCAGTGTTAGCAACACTCCGGTTTGAGCCCCGTGAGCTCACCTACACGTCAGGGCGAAGCTGATATAGCCTCTCAAGAATATTTCGACAGTTTCGTTCACCGGTCGCCCGGAGGAGGCAGTACTCACGAGGCGCTCTCCAGCGTGAAGATAATGGCTATGGAGCGGCGGTTGATGCCGGTGCTGCAGGAGTTCTTGCAGACGAACTTGAAGGCGTGCGTGCAGGGCTCCCGGCCCGGCTTGGGCAGCTGCACCAGCACGGAGTACCAGTAGTCGGGGTCGTCCGGGTGGCCGCAGTACTGCACGTCGTTGGTGCCCAGGGGCCGCGACGAGCGCAGCACGTTCTCCGACACGACGCGGTCCTGGCCTGGGGGGACACGGCACGTGAGCGTCTCGCAGAACTATATCAAATGAAAGCTAGATAAATATCGTAGATAAGGCTGTGATCTGTGATATGGTAGATAAGGCTGTGACGAAAAGGTCAAAAAGTAAAAATCTCAAAAACTGCACATCGCAGATTTTGGTTTGACAACGACGATATGCCTCTCTTAGGACATTTCCAAGATGAGCTTGCCTATATACAAATTTCGAACAACAACATTGGGACTACTGAGCTCGGTGGAAGATCTTCCCTTCGTCGTAATTTCCTCACTGAAGTACAATGAATATTATATTTAATATATGAGTCGACTATTATCAAAGCCGGCAATGTGACCTTTGGACAATTATTGGTAAATCAGAAAAACGAATTATTGACTTTGTATTCCATTGGCAGTCACAAAACTCTTCTGAACGACATCTTAGATAAATAACAGGTTCAGTATTAACCTTTATTTAATGCAGGTTTTGAACCGTATTCTTTGAAGGAGACGATTATATTTAAATCAATCTGTATTGACATATCAATAATTTTTTTTTTGTCCAAATGCACATTTTGCCACCTTTGATAATAGACGACTCATATATAATATACATAATATATTCAAGTAAATGAATTATAATACTACCACCACAATATTATAATTCATATTTGATATCCATATTATTATATATGGAGCAAACACGTGGTTTGTACAATTACACACAATATATTTAAAATGAACGGTAATTAGGAAAACTAATTTTAAGATATCCAAATAATTCTGCAGCCGACCGTAAATATGTACGTTTGGAATAGAGCAAGCCAAGAGTTTATTGCAGGTAATTTCTGCATGACTATTCACCATTAAGAGCTTTTTAATATCGAAGAGAAATATGAACGAAGATACCTTTATCGGAACTGCAGAGTTTGTGCTGGATGCATCTCTCGACTCTCTTCTCGGCCTGGGACTCGTCCTCGAAGACGACGGTGGCGCGCACGTACATCTGCGTCACGGCGAGATCCACCAGCTCCCAGTTGAACTGGACAGCGAAGTCGGTCTCCATGTTCACGTAGATCCGGTTCAGCTTGTGCGAGAACTGAAGGAAACCAAATTATTAGCTTTTTTTTTATTGTCCTTGTAGGCTGGTGTAACTGGTATAACTGGTGGTAGGACCTCTTGTGAGTCCGTGCGGGTGGGTACCATCACCCTGCCTATTTCTGCCGTGAAGCAGTAATGCGTTTTGGTTTGAAGGGTGGGGCAGCTGTTGTATAGTAAGCGGCACGTAAGTTGGCAAGGTTTTGGTGTAGTGGGGGTAATGTCGCGCATGGTGCACATTGCAACAAAAAATGGTCACTTTTATTGCCCGCATATAATTTTATTTTATTTTATTTAATTTTTTATTTGCCATAATTTGTTTTTAAGCCTGTGTGTTTAGAAGAAAGTTAAAGAAAAGAGAGGAATTCGTGAAGTGTATTAGGTGTTATAAATAAAATACAATTAAAAGTTAAGAAGTTTATTTTAAAAAATATACTTAATATTAAAAATTATGTGTCGCCGTCGTCACTATCATTTTCTAATAGTGCTACCCCTTGGATTAAATTTATGGTAGCACCTGAGCTGGTGAAAGGAGTTGGCTCCTCATCGTTGACATAACGAAGAATCGCTGTCGTCACTGGCGTAAATAATAAAACGCTCAGTGAATGAATCGACTATATGGTCATTGGTATTTGGTCCTGGCATTGCAAACAAATTTAAAAGAATAACACTCGTAACAAAAACTCAATATAAACAAAGGGTTCCTACAATTTAGTAGGCGCATGTGTAACCAGGAGCGAACGGAACGTGGACGCGGTGCGGGAGGGGAGGGTCGACTGACTCACCAATCGCGCGCTCGGAACGGTGCTACGTCTTTCCCCGCGTCCCGCTTGACAACCAAAGAGACCTAAAAAACGACTTCTGCGCATCTAACGACTCTTGCCAAGTTACGTGCCGGGGACTATAACTATACTTGAGACCTCAGAACTTATATATCAAGGTGGTTAACCGATCTAAGCAATAAAAAAAAGGCTGACGAGCATGCGCCCCACCTGATGGTGAGTGGTTACTGTCGCCCATGGACTTCAGCAATGCCAGGGAGAGAGCCAAGCCGCTGTATCTTCGTGCGTGTATTACTCTGACTTTCCTGTTTTGTACAACGACTACCCCACTGCCCGAACCGGAACACGCGACTGCTTCGCGGCAGAAATAAGCGGGATGGTGCCACCTGATATGAGCGACTAGCCTAACTGTTATACCCGGGGTTCAAGTCAGGGTGGTGGATGGTAATAACTCGTAAAATTGGAAATAATACTAAGGGTGGGATCTGTTGAATACTGAAAATTTTACTTAAGACTATCCTACCCATTGTAGACAAATGCAAGATTCCTTTCCAGCAGCAATGAATAGGGCTGGACAAAGAGCCACCTGCCCACAACATTCTTTAATGCAAAATTTACCTGTAAAAGAAGATTACAGTCGAAGTAACTCACCAAGAACTTCTTCTTGTGTGTATCCTTGCTGTGGATTTCGACGCTGAAGTTGTATTGCCCGGGATCGTCTTTGCGAGGCGGCGGTCCTCGGGGTCCAAGCTGAAAAATAACCATTTATTTTCTTATGAGCTCTTATGAGCCAGAAATAAATATTATTATCCATTATAAATACTGGAGGTTATTTTTTTAATTTTCAGTACCTTTTTCGAGTCATGCAAATTCGCTTGACCATAGTTTGCTAAAATTCTCTTATTCATATACTGTTACAGGAAAGTAAATAAATATCTCTAAATTGTATATTAAATACTTGTCTTGTATATTAAATTATATTATATTATTTAATAAACATTTTTTTGACTTGCTATTTTAAACACTCAAAGCTCTCTACTTATAAAATATGATAAGATTCAGGATTGCTGCCACACAACTTTGGCACTTTGAGATACTTCATATTTTAGAAATCATATTTTCATTTATATCGGATTCATATTCTACAATATTTTATTTAAGAAATCAATCATTTTATTTCGTGCAGTCTAAAGTGGCTTTAGTAAAAATGATAAAAACCAAAAGGAGATTTATGATATGAAAAAAAAAAATTTTTTTAAATGTCACCCTTATCGCAATTTAGCCCCATTGAGAAAATCCAGCGACATATTCGCTAGGCTGACGATATGTGTCTGTGATAGCTGAGCTGCAATATAACACAAGACGAGAGAGTATGGAGAGCAGAGGAGAAAGCGTTTTGATTACATGACTAGACAAATATTTATATTTTTTTAAACATTAAAACATACAAAAGTATATTATTATAGAGACCATTAGCAGACACCACTGGTATCTTAAGAATCTTAAAGAGATAAAAGCTACTTACAGGAAAGGAATTGTTTGAATTGTTAGACACATCACTGATTATGTACGGAATGTCATCTAGCACTCCAATGTCAACTTGATCGTGTATCCCCCCTCTGAAAATGGGTATGTGTATATGAAGACAAATGGTTGTGGGGCCCAAACAGCACAATGAAAATAGTGGAGTGAGTTCACCCAGTCATATAGAAGTCTTAGCAATCTCTACTTGTCGAATTGGTGATACATGATAACTTTTTTTTTTTTATAGCTTAGATGTGTGGACGAGCTCACAGCCCACCTGGTGTAAAGTGGTTACTGGAGCCCATAGACATCTACAACTTAAATGCGCCACACACCTTGAGATATAGTTCTAAGGTCTCAGTATAGTCATAACGGCTGCCCCACCCTTCAAACCGAAACGCATTACTGCTTCACGGCAGAAATAGGCGGTGCGGTGGTACCTACCCGTGCGGACTCACAAGAGGTCCTACCACCAGTAAAAACTTTGCAGTAAGGCATACTAATCTAACACAATTTAGACTTTGAACTCCAATGAAAAGTTCATGAGATTTAGGAGTTTTTATATCCAACCTTTTTATACCATTTACAAGTGTCTTGATAAAATGATATGTTTTAATAATCTCAGAGCTGAAAACATTAAATTTCTATTCTTGTCTGCAATTTGTTTCGAGAATAACACAGGAGATTCGCTTATTATTTGGTTGTACAATGTTTAACGTTTACACAGGGTGTAAGTATAAAACCCCAAAATAAATAGTCTTAGAATAAAGCATACTTGCACATTAAGAACAAACTGACTACATATCAAAAAGGGCATTTTCTATTAATAATTTTTAATTATACTTTTATTGCTTAGAAAGATGGACAAACTCACGATTTATCGGTACAAGCTGGTGTTAAGTGTTTACACAGGATCATAAAGATCATAATATGAACTACATTACACACCATGAGGCCAATTTCAATTGTTACAACTGCTATGTCATCCTTCAAAAGGGAAGACTGCTTCACAGTAGATGATTTTTTTTCCCTATTCCAGTTTCAGATGGACAGGACACAGTAGAAATAGAAGGGTGATGGTACTGTAGTATATTAATGAGGGTACATACTTATGATGAACTGACTGATGACTGAATGATGAATGAAAGATGAACTGACTTATTATTCAATATATGTAATTCAGTTAATTAATTAAATAATAAACTGCAATAAGTTCATACACTGGTAGGCTAGAAATACACACTACCAATACTGAAAATCATCTTGTTATACCTCAGTCTTTTTCAGGCTCCAGTTGAATAGACCAACCTAACCAAATTGATGAAGCTATTGGTCACATTATTCTAACTGTGATTAACACACTGAATACCATATTAAAGATCGTGTATTTTCAGTCAGGCCATGGCGTTCACAGGTGAGCCTTATCTCACTGAACACTAGGCCCACCTGTGGATCGAAACGCATTCAATGTGTTAAGATTATAACTGTAATCATTGTCTAGAGCAATAAAAAAGAGACTAAACATAATTTCAAACTCCTAACACACAGATATTCTTTATACATGATGAAACTTACTGAAACAATGCTTCATCCGGTATAGTGTTCAAATCAATGTTCACTATGTCATCTTCGCATGTGGCAACCTCAAGAGATGTCATGATTTCGTGTTTCATTTAAATAATTAGAGAGAACTGAAAAAAACTATTGTTGTAGCAGCAGTCATTTTTAGAATATTTAATTATACATAGCAGACTCTTTGCCTACCTAGTGTGAAGTGGGTACAGATTCCATCGACACCACAACACACTGCTGCAGTACAGATCTCTATGAAGAACCAGACTAGACAGGGTTAGGACAAACATAAAGTTCACTATCTCCAATTCAGCAAGGATACCTGAAATAGGAAATCAGATTTCACTTTTGTTAGCTTATTGTGAATCAGTAATACTACACCGTTTTTTATGTCAATTCAAAGTAGTACATAAAATTTATAACCATACAGCTGTTTAACTAAACGTATTATAAATTGAGAGATACCTCAAACCTTGTGCCTCACATTGGCACTTTAAGTTGGAGACATATAGATAAGATTTTCACCTTAGGCACACAGTAGTAAATGAATCTTCAGTATTAGTCGATCTGATTTTCTAACTGTATAATTTCAGTTAATTTGAAAAATGTACAATAAGCAATTTTAATTTAAGTTTAGCTTTTAAATTTTTGTATCTAAAACTATATACATATACAATTTTTATTTAATTTATGACACAAATATGTCTTCCAGCAGTTCCAACTTCCACAATAATTTGCTTTCAGGCACAGTGGGACAGTTTGTTTCCTTTAAATTATTTAAGCACATCTTCCGATCGGAGGACATAGCATGGCGTAATACCCGTTCATTTTGAGAGGTTCAACTTTTGTGTAAAATAAATTACTAATTTGGCATTCACATTTAAAGAGAGAGTTTTATAATTTTATTTGTTTGTTTCAATTTACTGTGATTAGATTAAGGCGAACAATTTGTGTTTTAGTTGTGTTAAAATCTTACATCCAACCTTATCGTATTCGAACTTAAAATACACGTACTCTAATCACTTTATTCACAGGAATTAAAAAAATTATAACATAAATACTAGGTATATGTTGTATTTAAAACAAAATAAATATTTTGTTTTCGATGAATTAGTAAAGAATTTAGTATTTCGTACCGTAACTTAAACTAAAAGTTATTAATACAGGTCGTTCATACACTCAATTAATACATTGTGATTTGTGTATAATCTCAAATTTATTAAGTGTATAATCTATGGTATAATCTATGAAGTCTACAGAAGGGATTTATTTTAATAATTTTTTGAAAGGTATTTTATGACTTGGTAACAATTTTTTATTTTTATTTTTTTTTATTGCTTAGATGAGTGGACGAGCTCACAGCCCACCTGGTGTTAAGTGGTTACTGGAGCCCATAGACATCTACAACGTAAATGCGCCACCCACCTTGAGATATAAGTTCAAAGGTCTCAGTATAGTTACGACGGCTGCCCCACCCTTCAAACCGAAACGCATTACTGCTTCACGGCTGAAATAGGCAGGGAGGTGGTACCTACCCGTGCGGACTCACCAGAGGTCCTACCACCAGTATTTACGCAAATTATAATTTTGCGGGTTTGATTTTTATTACACGATGTTATTCCTTCATCGTGGAAGTCAATCGTGAACATTTGTTAAGTACGTATTTCATTAGAAAAATTGGTACCAGCCTGCGGGATTCGAACACCGGTGCATATCGTTCAACACGAATGCACCGGACGTCTTATCCTTTAGGCCACAACGACTAAGACCTTTAAGTCATGTCTTATTTTTATTTTTATTCTTAATTTTATGAAAAATGATAATATGTAGTGAAATGAAATGAAGATGATTAATTTGAGACATTAATCAACTGGGATGAAATTAAATGAAATGAGATGAGATGATATGGGATAGGGATCCTGTCGGGATGGGTTTCCGCCTATTCAGCCCTAGTAAGATGTGCTCCGTGAGGCGGTGCACTTGATGGACGCACGAGTGTTTGGCGCGGAACCCAAACTGCTCGTCGATCAATATCTTACTGGACGCGACGAAATTCCAGAGGCGTTTACGAAGGAGCCGTTCGTATAGTTTGCCTATCGCCGGGAGGAGACTGATGGGGCGGTAGCTCGCGGTTTCGTTCTTTGGTTTGCCCGGCTTGTGTATGCCGATAATGTCAGTTTCTTTCCACGCCGCGGGAAAGATGCAGTTCGTCATAGCAGCATTTAAGATGGTGGCCAACATTATTATTAGTTGGGCTGGTAACATTTTTAGCGCACGATTGTGGATGCCGTCGAAGTCGGGAGCTTTCCGTGGTTGCAGGTTAGCAATCGAGTCCTTAACCTCGGAAGTGGTAATGGGGGGTAACGCGTCCGAGGGCGGCAGGGAAGCTCTGCGCTCGAACTCCCTGTCGACTAACTAGGTGTGTTCGGGGTCCGCGTATTGAGTGCTGGTGGTGCACTGCTCTTGCAGTACATCGGTCAGCAGCTGTACCTTGTCATCGTCATCGAAAGCCGCTGGTTGACCTGAGGGGCGTACTAGCGGCGGCATAGTGACGATAGTTTCAGACTTGAGGGTCCTAGCTAGTCGCCAGTATACTTGGTGAGTGGGCGCGAGTTCTTCTAAGTAACTATCCCATTTCTCATTTCGGGCATCGCTTAGATTAGCGGATTTGACCTCCCGCTGTAGGCGCCGCATCCGAATCCGGTTTGAATCCGTGGGAAGACGATCGTAGGCCCGGATTGCCGCGTTCCTGACTCTTAAGAGATCTCTAAGCTTGGGGGAAAGTCTGATGCGGTAGAAGCAGTCCTCCACATCGACTTATTTTGAAGACCTTATGATCGCGGTCGAGACGTGTTCGGTAAGGATGTTTATAGATTCGACTGTGTCCTCGGGGGATGAAGTTGAATCCGGGGCGCAGGGAGGATTGGTGGAGCGGCATCAGCTAATTTGAGTGGGCGACCGAGCTGCATGACGACAGGTCGGTGGTCTGAGTCGAGGCATCTCAGTAAAATGGTGGTCATTTACTGAGATTTTTTCAGTGGACTTTTTGGAAGATCCCGAGAAGTTACGTCCAGCGGCTTTGTCTCATTTTCTCACATTTGTGCACTGTCACAAATATTAAACAGCTAATAAACCACCGTTATTAGACATTTAAACCTAAAGAAACACTAAATAGACAAAATAAAACAAATCACACAACTTCACTCCTCGCGTTCCCGCCACAAAGTCGTGTATTATCTATGAATGACACAAACCACAGATTAATAATAGACTTTAGTTTGTCACAATATAATTACTAACTCTATGGTCACAATAAAGCTTTAAAGCTCCATTTTACTGTTTTTCTTTATTCTATCTGTTGACTATTTGATTTGATACCTACATTATTATCACCTACTAGACACGCAACAAAATAATATCAGTAGTATATTTATTTAACATTTTATTGTTGATAAATCAAATCCTCTATATTGGTATGACAGTGAAATTATATTCGCAATACGGTGTCTTTTTTTTAAAAACGCTCGTCAATTTGCAAAACTCAAGAGAAATGATGCTTCTATTTTGTATTTATTTCATAAGTCATGGATATGTTCAGAGTAATGATGATTTTAGAAATTTAGAAAACTACAAACAAGTAAATAATTAAAATAAACAAGTGAATTATAAAAATAAAAATTACGTGGGGCTAATAACTTCAGGGCCCTTTTTATCTCTTTGGGGAAATTACCTCTCGACTCATCTGTTAAGAAACGGTTACCAGAGGCTTTAATTAGACGTCAAAATATCCCACCCCGTCCACCTTGAGATCTATAGTCGAAATTTTAAGTTCACTTGAATAATATTATTCCGCGTGCCTCTCTATGTATTATGTACATAAAAAATAACTTTTAATGTTACCGTAAGTAATATTAACCAGAATTCGAATAGAAATACATGAGTATCTTTATGCGGTATTCTGATTGCATTTTGTAATTCTTACGGTTAGTCATTAAAGTGGCAGTAGTGCCTGCGCCAACTGCTAGCTTTGGGGTGGTAAATCACAAGTTTTAGTCAGTACATTAATTTTATAAAATCACCGTCAATAGCATATGTGTGGTAGATTCTCTTTGTGTATGTGTTTTTTGGTTTTACACCAAACTTTAATTTAATTAATAATTTAAATTGCGTTCATTTCAAAAACCGCAAAAGCCACCACCTACCTAGAGATATGAGTCCTAAGGTCTCCGTTTACGCAAATTATAATTTTGCGGGATTGATTTTCATCATACGATGTTATTCTTTCACCGTGTTAGTCAATCGTGAACATTTGTTATGTACGTAGTTCATTAGAAAAATTTGCACCTACCAGCGGGATTCGAACACCAGTTGCACCGGGTGTCATCCTTTATTCCACGACGACTTTTAAAATAATAATTAATGTTTGAAGTTATAATTTGAAGTATTCAAGTATTGCCATAAATTAAAGTGCAGTAGGGATAACCATTATTCCCTAAAACTATCGAACTTAAAATCGAATGCAATTGAAGTTAGAAAAACCAATTCACAACAAAATCGAAGTAAAGAAGATCGATTTATCAAACAACTTTTTTCAATTAAAATAAGATAACTGATAAAAAAAACACTCACAAATGAGTACATAGAAGAATTTAATAGAATGCAAATGGCACAATATTAAACAACCAACAAGAACTTTGATCTGTCGATCTTATTTATAGTTGCAATCTTTTCAGCATAGGAATTTGAACATTGTTTTTCTTTTGTCTTATATTGATTCACTGGATGAATTCATTACATATTTACGGTTGAATGATCTAACTTTTAAGAAAACAAATCGATACCTCGATCAATCCATGTCAGATCACATCCCTAAAGTGTAGGAATGAGAAAAAAACACACGAAACTCCGCTTCACTTGTGTTTTTTTCTAATTTTACTGTCATTACGCCGATAAATTGATGCATATTTTGTATGCAACAGTTATTTCGATTAAATAAATCGCATTATTATGTACAACATTTCCGCAAGGAATGTGCTGAGTGCGTGTATTTACTAAAATCAATAACAATCAGTGACCAACAAAGGTACGCTTGTGTTTGCTTTTGCTTGGTGCTTGGGGATTATAACCTGTGTTTTGTGCTGGCGTCCGGTTGGCGTCTACCACAATTAACCCAATAATGCACGTTAAGTGCCACCAGAACATCTTACGTGAATGAAAGTGTGTCTTAGTGCAGTCAGTGCGTGTCGTAATATGGATAAATTTGTTTTTAGTTACCAAGATGAATTATGAAGCCGAAAGAGCCATGAACCAAAAGAGATTGCGTATGGAGGCGGAACCTGGCCATGGAGTGGTGCAAGGAAACGGTTTACCACTCAATTATATCGGTAAGTCGCGATCAAGAACTTAAAAACGCGGGAAAGCGGGAGACCTTGAAAGTTTACAAGTTGTGTTTTGTCTCAGATAATGGTCATCAAATACCTTACCAGCCCTATGCTGGGGCCTACAATACCCACTACCCGCCCCCGGATGCGTTCGCAGCGTACGGACCGCCACCACCAGGAGGCTATGCCCCACAGAACCTGTCTTATGCACCTCCTGCTCATCAAAATTATGCTCATCACCAGAGTTTCCCACCACAGCAGCCTCCACAGGCCCAGTTGCATATGCAGTCACACATGGGTAATAGCTTATTTAATTTTTAAGTTTGTTTTGTTTACATTATTTTCTATTCATAAATTATTAATATTTACGTTTTTCATGAATAAGAAGCAACAGGTGTTTGGGTATGATAATTTGTATGAAATTTGATTTTGATTTCACTGGAATGTGAAAATGAGTATTTGTATTTGAATATTTAAAATTGATAATCCAATATAGTAATGAATATAGATTGTATTGGTTTGTGAATCTAGATGCAGCTTAGGTGGCTGATAGTTATATTAATATAGAAAACTTTTAAATTATGAATAAAGTTTTGTGCTCCGGCTTTAAAAAAAATGTTGGTTGCTGTCAATTAGATATTTGTTTAAGGTTATGGTGATGTGGGTGTTCACAAGCCTGCGTGGCCTCCACAACCACACCTACTACCACCGCTCGACGCTCAAAAACCAATAGATGTGAAACAACTTAAACCGGAAATCAAACTTGAGCCCACAGATGCCCAAAAACGACCACACCCCGAAGCTGAAATGATGGTGAGGAAATTTTATTAGTAAATTATTTATTTACTAGCTGACCCGGCAGACTTCTTAGTGCCTCAATCGATAAATAAAATACCTAAACTTTTGTATAAAATAAACTTAAAACAAACAAAAGGAATCCGTCCGACGGGGGACACATCAAAGGAAAAACAAAAGTGTTTTAATTTTATTTTATTCTGACCTTTTTTATATTTATCTACCTTTTAAACCTTCTCTAGACTTCTACAAATAATTCAAGACCAAAATTAGCCAAATTGGTCCAGCCGTTCTCGAGTTTTAGCGAGACTAATGAACAGCAATTCATTTTAATATATATAGATTATAGATTATATTTAGTGAAGAATTTTTTTTCTAATGATTTTTATTTAAATGCTTCAAATCTGATTATTAGTTTTAGTAATCTAATATTTAATAAATTTTATAATTAAATTTTACCAAGTAAACTGTACCGCATATTAACCTTCTTTATTGATATTGATAAAATCCTTTTTGCTATACTAAGAATTACAAAGACATCTGTAAAATTTTTCAGAGTGAAATGGATCAGCCAAAAATAAAAATCAAAACAGACATTTTTAAGCCTGATGACTTAGCACACAGACCCATTGAAAAACCTATAGGTATGTTAAATTAGTATTTAGTTTAAAAAAATCCTGTTTTTTTTTCATTTTAAGTAATATATAAAATAGGTAAGGTTGGTCAGAGGACGATTTTGCCCAACTAACATAATGATTGCATACAACTATGTTGTTTTGTATTTAAAAATATTTAAAATGGATTTAGAACCTACCAAAATAGTAAGTTATTTCATTTAAGGATACAAAAACGAATCAAGTGCAAATTATTGTTATTGTTCTACAAAGCCTATAACAAAGCTATAACAAAATAATTGTATTTAGAATGGAGCAATAAGACCTTAATGCAGTTAACATGAAGTGTCCATGTCTAAGGTATAATTGTTAAAGTAATTGAACTTAAGATTTCACTAAGCTTTAACCAGGTGCTTTCATTTTTACATGTTATTATTGAGAAGAAATGTGAAAAAAATTAAATTAGATCTATGTATGTTTCTAAAAGAAGTTTATACACAGTAATGTTAATGATATTACAAAACGATATGGTATCTGAATGTCTCTGATTCTAAATTCTCATCCTTTTTTTCAGATGCACACATACATAAACCATTAGAAGGTGCACAAAAGCCAACAGATCTACAGAATAAGGGTATTTATTTTATTTTATTTTATTTATTGGGTACCAACATGTTATACATCAGCATTTATAATTAGTCAGTATTTTATTCATGCATTCATTAATCAGTATTTATAATTAAACATATAAAAGTATGTATATCAATCTCTGGTTCCCATCCATCCATGTCCTGGTGACGCAACTAAACATGGATGGATGTTATTTGTTTATTTAATATTCACTTATGCAATAAACTGAAGAATTGCAGAACTAAAAGCAGTGTATAGAGGCAGCTATCAACTGCCATGGGATGCCTGAGTCATATTAGTATAGATATTGTATTTCATTTTAAGAAAATACTGATAAAAAGGAATGTCCTTATAGTATCACGGAAAGAATGTAGTCAATCATACAAACAATGTTACTATCTGATCTTCTTGTCAAGATTCGCAGATCCCCAGGCTGTGTTGCCCATTTGTAGCTCAGTGATGAATCCTCAACATTAGTACTTGCATACCAAAACATAATTACGGTGCTCATGTTACAGATGAAGGACAGCCGAATACAATAGTTGACATCAAATTAGGAGAGAAACCGACTGGTGAGGATTTTTAGTACTAGAAATTCATTCTAAAAAAGCAACCAATTAATTTCATTAACAAAATATCAGTAGGCACAGCATTGCTTTCTTCTGTACACACTTTTGGGACTTGGTAGATAAAATTTCAGTTGAAAAAAATTTTTTGTTTGATTGTCCTCAACACTTAAAATCACTTATGTGGATTGTTATATTAGGATCCAGTTCACCCATTTGGTGTAAAGCTGTTAGTGGAGTCCATAGACAACGTGAGTATCGCCGCTTTCTTGGCGATGCTTCTCGATACTGGTGGTAGGACCTCTTGTGAGTCCGCGCGGGTAGGTTCCACCACCTTGCCCATTTCTACCATGAAGCAGTAATGCGTTTCAGTTTGAAGGGTGGGGCAGCCGTTGTAACTACACTCGAGACCTTATAACTTATATCTCAAGGAGGGTGGCCCATTCACGTCATAGATGTCTATGGGCTCCAGTAACCACTTAATACCAGGTGGGCTGTGAGCTCGTCCACCCAAATAAGCAATAAAAAAAAAATTGAAGCGTAGTCTGAAAGCAGCTTCAGTTACAATGTATGATGACTCGTGTCAGAGGGTTTTGGAAACTTCTCGAAACAAAAACGCGGGGACGGCGACTACATACGGGTAAAAAAGTTTAGGAAATTTTGCGCAGAGAGATAATTAGTATTCTGTTTAATTATGTGCATCGTTATTGTTTTATTACAGAGTCGAGCAAGGGGGACGGCAGCGCGGAGGCGGGGGAGCCCCGGCCCGCGGACTCCGCCGCCCCGGCCGCGCCCAACAGGTACTAATATTATTGTACACGACCGGGACTTTTTGGCGGGAACGCGAGGATTGAAGTTGTGTGATTCGTTTTATTTTGTCTATTTAGTATTTCTTCAGGTTTAAATGTGTAATAATGGTGGTTTATTAACAGTTTAATATCTGTGAAAGTGCACAAATTTGGGAAAATGAAACATAGTCGCTGTACGTAGCTTATCGGGATCACCCAAAAAGGCCACCGAAAAAATCTCAGTAAATGACCACCATTTTACTGAGATTATATTTCATCCCATATCATCTCATTTCATTTAATTTCATCCCAGTTGATTAATGTCTCAAATTAATCATCTTCATTTCATTTCACTACATATTATAATTTTTCATAAAATTAAGAATATAAATTAAAATTAGACATGACTTAAAGGTCCTAGTTACCAGGTCATAAAATCACTTAAAAAAATGTACACGACCCGGCCTGTATGGCTGTTTCCGAGTCGTGTAATTAATTTTTTTTTTGTTGCTTAGATGAGTGGACGAGTTCACAGCCCACCTGGTGTTAAGTGGTTACTGGAGCCCATAGACATCTACAACGTAAATGCACCACCCACCTATATAAGTTCTAAGGTCTCAATATAGTTACAACGGCTGCCCCACCCTTCAAACCGAAACGCATTACTGCTTCACCGCAGAAATAGGCAGTGTGGTGGTACCTACCCGTGCGAACTCACAAGAGGTCCTACCACCAGTAAAAAGACTGGAAAGATAAGGTAAAAATGTGGATTTCTTTCAGTCAGAAAAAAAAGCAACTTTACAGGACATCCATTTAAAGTTTAAAAATTAAAAAACATATCATAACAACAAAACTTCCTCAGCTATTAGAATGGAGTCCACTTAATTGAAGTTCAATTAAAAGGATCGAATTGTTTGTTTAATTACAAAGATAAATGTCGCGTATTAAGCGAAATATTACTTAAACCAAATAACCTTTGACCCTCCGATATGTTTGATGAGCTCGTATTTGCGTCACTTGGTTTTATTAAGTATCGCTATTATCGATAATGAGCTCCCCTCCACGGTGTTTCCCGAGCGCTATGGCATGTCCTTTTTAAAAGAGGCTTAAGAGTATTAATAAGTAGAAGGCAGCGGCTTGGCTCTGGTATTGCTGAAGTCCATGGGCGACGGTAACCATTCACCATTAGGTGGTCCGTATGCTCGTCTGCCTACAAGAGCAATAAATAATAATAATAATATCGTATCGATAATACCGCAACGATAATATCGTAACGATAATATCTGGTCGATAATATCTGGTCGATAATACCGCAACGATAATATCGTGTAGATAATATCGTATCGATAATATCGTATTGGTAATATCGTATCGATAACATCGTATCGATATTAATCGATTAATGCTTATCCATCACGCTGCTACCTCCGGTACTACCGCCGACACAAAACATAAGTTGAGAGTTAAAGCAAAGAACCTAGCGATTATAATCATTAAAATTGTTACAGTGATATCGACAGGAAACCGTTCAGTAGTCCAGAGCTGCCGAAGTCGGGCTCCGTGCCGGGGAAGGCGCCCACCCCGAGCTCCGAGGTATCATTCATTTTCAATACGCTTTTATAAGCTTTAGACGTATGTACAGTATGTATGTTTGGAAAGAAATCTTTGAACATGATTTTGAGCCCCTTCAAAACGTCAGATTATCTCGAAAGAACAATGGCAGCTTTCTATACAACATTTTACCTGATATCTATTTGAGGCGTCTTGAAACAAAAAAATACTAAAACGATAGGAATAACATAGCTTAAGCTTAATCAGAAATATTTTTGGTATTAGAAAGTCACAAAAAAAAGATATCAACGTGTTTACTTTATAATTTGAGGTTATCTATCAATAAATAGATGTCTCTGATTTTTNGAAACAAAAAAATACTAAAACGATAGGAATAACATAGCTTAAGCTTAATCAGAAATATTTTTGGTATTAGAAAGTCACAAAAAAAAGATATCAACGTGTTTACTTTATAATTTGAGGTTATCTATCAATAAATAGATGTCTCTGATTTTTGTAGGCACGGACTATAACAAATTGAAAAAATAGGTAAACGATATGTTTAATTAACATTTTTAATTTCATTATCATAGATGAACCAAGGATACACCTCTAATAGTACTCGAGTAGGCACCCTTAGCAATTGCAGAGCTACCTAGGTACATATACATATTATATAGTTTGTTCTTTCTTCTTTGTAAATGTGTAAAAATGTGTGTCAGAGATAGGTACTTTTAACATTTTAAACGAATTAGTCACATATTTGCGACAAACGAAGGCTTGCAAAGCTAATTTACTATAGTAGAATTATTTTGTCCGTGCAGTTTGGGTCATAAAAAATCGGAGCGGTGAAGCGAGTATTTCGCTCTCTCTTCCACTCACGAGCCTTATGGACGGGCATAGTCATGCGCATTATGTCAGTTGTCATACTGTTAAAATCATTGTCATCTGCAGTGCTGCCATTACTATATATTAAATATTTAGTTATTTAATTAAGTACATACTAATTGTAACAAAGGATAATTAATATTATTATTTTCATTTTAAATACTTTATGAATAGTATTCATTATCAAAAAATATTGCTTTTTTGTGCCAATAGTATAAATGCCATCCTTTACAAATGTATTAAACCGGAAGTACACAAAAATCGAATTAAAAGCTTATTAAATTAACATTTTTTCGTGGCTTTGCCACTTAAATCTAACATCGTATAAAAAACGAGCAAATAAAATGATGAAGTTTCGTTTATGTCTTAATCTAAGACGTCTTTTAAAACATTCAGGTAAAAAATTGCCATTGTTCTTTGGTATACTTATTAAGGACCGATGACAATTCAACATTAAAAAAAAAAAAAATTGAAAAAAAAGAATTGAAAAAATTTAAATTCAACTAAAAGTCTTTGCAAATCCTTCCTTAAAGCCCTAAATTATTTTGAGCTTATGCTGGGCTGTGGTTTGGCTAAGAAATACAGAGGTCAAATAAATAATGAATGTTATGATTTTTGTAGCCGAAGAAGAGAGGTCGCCCTAAGGGGTCGACGAACAAACCGAAGCCCCCCGGCGTGACCGGCAAGCTGGTCCCCAACATGGCGGCGGGCGGGGGGGCGCCGCGCGGGCCCCCTCCCCGCGCCCCCGCCGCGCCCCTGCGCCCGCGCTGCACCGGCTACCAGTACGCCGTCCGGGCCTACAGGAAGGACTTCTCCGGGATACAGTTCAGGAGGTCATTACTTTCTACCTTCTTATAAGTGGGAATACTGTAAGCGTGCTCGGTGGGAGAGAATGTTGATAGAATGAATGATAATGGAGGCAATCTGAATGTCTCCAGGACAAACTTAAACTTAAAGCACGGTGCAAAAATAATAAGGTTATTGATTCTATCAAATTAATTATTGTGCAGTTATATCAAATATATATTGTTATGTTACTAATGAAGTTAAAATAACGATGATGTTGGAATACAGTACAGAAATCAGATCTTAAATTAGTATTGTAAAAATGAGTAAGGAATAGTAATAGGAATAGTGACAATTTATTTGATATTTCTTTCTAATATTTTAATAGTTATGACGTCATATATTATTATTCCCAATTACAAGTTCCCTAGGTAATTATTTGAGTATGGATTCATACATAATAACTAGAAATGACTTCTGAAATCTTTATAAAATTATATAACACAAAATACATTCAGTATGGGAATCTTAAATGAAAAAAATGGCTTTTATTAGTCTTGAGAAGTATAAAGTAATGAAATGAAATCATTGACCAAAACAAAAACAAAAAAGGAGTTATTTATTAAAAAAATAAATAAATAGGACAAACACAATTCGTTGAAAATATCTGAATTGTTATTTGTGTGTGGTCATGATACCAGTAAAGTGAACCCCGGTAACCGTACTCGTCAAACTCGATAAAGAGTTCGACGAGTAACATAACCTAAACATCAGTCCGCTTAGTTTCTCGCCGGATCTTCTCAGCGGGTCAGATCCGGTAGTAGATTCATTCGCGAAGCAGCTGCTCTTGAGTTGTTAGGTCTCCTTCGGAGGCGCTCGGGCAGCTGTTAGCAAATTCCAAACCTGGTGTCCTGGTAAAATTGCAAATACCTGAGGGTCACCAATAACCTCTCATTTACATGAGCTTAAAAGTATTACTAGTGGTTCGACCTCTTACGAGTCCGCACGGGTAGATACCACCACCCTGCCTGTTTCTGCCGTGAAGCAGTAATGCGTTTCGATTTGAAGAGTGGGACAGCCGTTGTAACTAAACTGAGATCTTAACACCAGGTGGTTTGTGAGCTCGTCCACTGTACTAAGCAATGTCCTTAGGCGCTGGAGCGACGACTGCCTGGACTCGTCGCACATCCCCAACGAGGTGTACTTCGGCGACGTGCCGGTGTCCACGGAGGTGCTGTTCAACTACTACGACGCGAACGCGGAGCGCGAGCGGCTGGCGACGCAGGCCGCGCAGATCGCCGCGCAGAAGGCCGCCGCCGCCAAGCTCGCCGCCGCCAAGCTGCAGGCGCGGGGCGTCGTCTCCAACGAGGTCACAACACATATCCGTTATTTATTTATTGAAGTTATACTTCTTTAGGCGCGTTATGAAAAATTTATGAGAGTGAAGTTTTACGATGCCCGCGCACCGTGACACAAAATTAACAGAAATGAAGTTGCCCACTAAATCGCTCATTACAATACGACCGACGTAACTTGGCGAGTCTGAATATAGCCGCAAGCGAACTTTCCGAACCGTACCGGAATTACCGGATTTATACGATGTCAAGAAAAGGGATGTCCAATATGCGTGTTTGAGGATGTTGTCTAATCGATTTTTTTTCAAATTGATTAAAATTAAATAAAAAAAAAAAAAGTGTGTGTGTCCGCTCCGACGCACGACTGGAGTTTACTGGATATAAAAAATTAAACGAAACAATACGAGAAATAGTTCTATATTACGACAACACGATACACTACAGATTATTAACAAATTAACGAGACACAAAACAAACGACTAACAAAAAATATCAAAAGTGTGTGTGTCCGCTCCGACGCACGACTGGAGTTTACTGGATATAAAAAATTAAACGAAACAATACGAGAAATAGTTCTATATTACGACAACACGATACACTACAGATTATTAACAAATTAACGAGACACAAAACAAACGACTAACAAATATATGAAAATACAATAATGAGAGAAACGCGCGATCAGTACGAGGCTTTGTGGCGGACTGCCGGCGCAGCAGCCCGGCGTCACCTGCGATAACGCGGCCGCGCGTTGGCTCCTGATTGGCGCGCGCACGCATCACCATGGCCAATCAGGCGCATAACGCATTTCGTGTGACATGCTATACTCTCTAGTACGATTTTGGTCCCCATAATTTTCATACCCCGGGCCTATATATGTAAATCGATTCTAAAGGAGTAAACTCCAAAAAAATTATAATATAATAATAAAAATAAAGTATAATTTCTTACGCGCGTACATAAGTACACGCACCCTTTTTTTTTTAATTGGCATCACGCTGTCCGCATTGCCACAGACAAACATATCCGTTATGGCTTGTACGAACTGTGTCAGAAACATGAGAAAATCCAGTTTGAAGGGTAGGGCAGTGGTTATGACAAGTGACCTCCAATGCGACATGACCATAATTTTAATAATCTTACTGGTCAAACCTGTCGAGACAACTTTATCAATTGCGGAGTTTTGAAAGGAAGGCAGGAGGAAGGAAGGCAGAGGAAGGAAGTTGTGTGAATTGTTTTATTTTGTTAGTATTGTGTTTCTTCAGGTTTAAATGTGAGATAACTTTAGTTTATTAGTTGCTTAGTATCTACAAATGTAGGAAAATAAAACAAAGAACCTGAATGCAGCTAGCTTCTCGGGATCTCCCAAAAAGTTCACCACAGCTCAATTGATTTCATTATGCCGATATGATTTTCCATAAAACACAAATACTAAAGATTAGGCTGTATAATGTGATACCTTCGCATTTCTAGTTGAAAAAAAATGGAACTATCACTTTAACAAATGTGGCTTAACAAAATTGTCTGTGGCGGTTGGTGTGATGTTGACAAAATAATTTAATCATTATTAAATTAAAAAGTTCATTATGAACTTATAATACGTATACAAAAACACAGCAATTAACTACATGTGGCGTCATGCATTGTGGTTGTTGCCGAAAAAGCGTTGAAATTATTCCATTTTATTCAGTGATTTAAAGCAGTATTGATCATTAAAAAAAAATTGTGATTGGATGATATTTTACTGAAGATGCCATGTCGTTTGTTACTGTGGCTGATTGCACATTGAGGCAACAATGTTATTGCTGGTGACGATGGTAGTCGTATTTACGTTGTGATGCCCACAGACTCCTGAATTGGCTTCACATGTCCGCATAATATGCGGCATCTGCATAATTTACTTTGTATTTCTTTGTAGGTCACGACAGTCGATTCATCATCGTCAGACGATTCGTCAGGGTCCGAAGGCAGCGATTCAGAAGATAGCGACGAGGTGAGTTCTTTAAATAAATCGTGGGACATAAAGCTCTCAAAACAGTAAAAGCTCTAAATAGCACTGATGGTCATATGGATGACGTCCCTGTAAAACAAAACCTTAGAACTTATATCTCAAGGTAAGCCATAAAAAAAAAAGACTTAAATAGAACTAGAACAATATTCTTTACTCCACAGGACGCCCCCCTAAAACGAGGTCCAGGCAGACCGAAGGGTTCCAAGAATTCTCCGCGGCCCCCCGGAGCGACGCCCCCCGGCGCCACGCGGCGCGGCCGGCCCCCCGTGCCCCCCGAGCTGCGCCAGCCCGGCATCACCGACATGAAGAAGTTCTGCAAGGCGGCCGGCATCCGGTTCGATTACAAGAAGCTTGTTGAAGGTCAGACACCTACGCACTGGCACGGGTGGTGGAGACAGATTGATAATACCGTAAAATGGAGGGGATAGGGACACTTTTTAAGTCCGACATTGATTTTTATCGTTTTTTTTGTAGTTATAGTAATGAAACGGATATCATAATGTAACTATACTGCGATTTTAGAACTCATATCTCAAGGTGGGTGGCGCATTTATTTCATGCGCTGTGAAGTATTGTACTGTTATTGCGCCTGTAATTGAGGTGACATCAGTTATGTACTTATTGTCAATGATTTGTATTGATGATCACTTTGTTGGTGCAACTATAAACAGTCGACGTCGCACTAACCACGTCATTACGGATCCTCCCGATCCATTAACGGTACTTTTAGGTACCTCAAGCACCGGTCACCGTCCTCGTACACCCGTCGCTTGCGACGAAGGGCTCGACGAGTAAATTAACCCACAGACACAGCCCACTTAGTTTCTCGCCGGATCTTCTCAGTGGGTCGCGTTTCCGGTCCCGTGGTAGATTCTGCAACACCTTCGGTTTGAGCCCCGTGAGCTCATCTACTAGTTTGGTAAATCTAGAACAACCCCTCGAGGTTGCTAGAATAGGTAGGAAAAAAAAATGGTGCAACTAAATCAATAAATAAAACACGTTTCCTTTCGGTAGGTTGCACGAAAAACAAAGAAAGAGTTGAGAAGATGCTAGAGCTGCTGGTCGCGGCCGGGCTCGAGGGCAAGCCCACGCTGGAGAAGTGCAAGGCGATGAAGCAAGCCAAACTAGACAAGAAGGAGCAAGAGAAGCTGGCCAAGAAAGAAGCGAAAGCGAAACACAAAGACGACCCTGGTACCTTTCTTTTTGTAATGATAACTCACATAGTCCGTAGAACCAACTTCATACCCGACCGGCTCTCTCCTAATTGTAGGTAGGCAGCGGCTTGGCTCTGCCCCTGGCATTGCTGAAGCCCATGGGCGACGGTAACCACTCACCATCAGGTGGGCCGTATGCTCGTCTACCTACAAGGGAAATAAAATAAGTAAAAAATTGTCCCCAACTCTGTTCTCACTCAGAAGTGAGCTAGTGATGATGATTATACCTGAGGTTGTTTTAATTAGGCTTTTTAATGTCAGCAAGACCGGTCGTGACACGTCATTGTTTTGCTATCGGATGGCTCACAAGTTGATAAGGAATGACGTCAGAGGTCTAACCACTTTATGACCCCAAGAGTGAAGCCCGAGCTGGCTCTGGAATATAGTGGCGAGCGATTTAAGGACAGTATGCCCAAGTTTTTATTTATTACTTAGATGGGTGGACGAGCTCAGCCTACCTGGTGTTAAGTGGTTACTGGAGCCCATAGACATTTATGAAGTAAATGGCAACGCACCTTGAGATATAAGTTCTAAGTTCTCAGTATAGTTATAGCGGCTGCCTCACCCTTCAAACCGAAACGCATTACTGCTTCACGGCAGAAATAGCAGGCTGGTGGTACCTACCCGCCCGGACTCACAAGAGCTCCTACTACCAGTAATTACGCAAAGCATGATATTGTGGGTTTCATTTTTATTACACGATGTTATTCCTTTACCGTGGAAGTCAACCGTGAACATTTGTTAAGTAGGTTTTTTTTAGTCATTAGTTCTATTCTCATGTGCGTTACGAGAAGTAGGCAGACCGCCCCCCTCACCCCTGTCGCCACCTAAGGCGCGGCCGACTAGTGTCGCACGCGCTATATAAGGCGCGGCCATCTAGTTCCGTGCGCACTGTACTTGATCTGTCGCGCGAGACGGTTGCGAGTCGATCGGGCGCTCGTTAAGCGGAGTGAAGTTGCAGCGGAGCCGGCGGCGGGCTCGTGCCGGCGCATGACGCGCGGCGCCACGGGCGTGAAGCCGCGCCAGCGCATCGTCATCTCGTCGGACGAGGAGGACGACACCCCGCAGGCGCGCCGCACGCTCTCCAAGCTGCGCTCCAGCGTCAACGACCACTCCGACTCCGACTAGCGTCCGAGGTATGCCCCCCCCCCAGCAGACTCGCCCCGCAGAAATAGGCAGGGCGGACTCACAACACGCCCTACCACTAGTAAAATAAATAAACTGTGTAGAAATAAATTCTTGTGTTGCCCATAAACTCTGAACACTGAGTGAACCCACGCCTCTTCGTAATGTTACCTACTTCAACAACTGTTTAAGACGGCATTCAAGAGAATTCATGATTAAGCTATCTCCGCTTTTTACTATAAATACAAGTGACTATTGTCGCACAAAAAAATTCCGACTCGAGCAGCCGAACGAAGCGGAGCACTCTGTTGTTATCGTTGTACCCTTGAAACTTAATAAATGGAATTCATTGGAAAAGTGAGGCTTAATTACTGTCACTATGGAAGACTGATAATGATGAAGAAGTCATCATTTTAAAAACGCCATGGAATCAGCCTGCCATATATATAAAAAAAAATTAAATGTTCCAGGTCACCATCAGATCGTCTGCTTGACGATGAGCAATTCCTTTGGGGCAGTTAACGCTGACATTTCCGAGAGTTAGGATCGACGTGTCCGTGGACGATCTCGCGTGTGTATTACAATAAAATAATTAATGAAAAAAAACTTTAAATAATTATTATAGTTAACCATAGTGTGACGTCGTTAGAAAAATCTCAGTGAACAACATTATTTTGTATATTAATCTGTTTAGTTCGTAATTGTATCGGAGTTTGTTTGAGATTGTAAAACTTCATTGGTAAAATTCTGTCATGTTGGCAACATTGACGTATTAAGATATATTATTGCCAACAGAAATATATTAGAAGTCACCAATTTGAAGATAATCTATGCCTTGTTTTGAAAATTTGAGTGATAGTAGAAAAATAAAATGCTAATGATTTTTCTTTTTATTCTGTTTTATTGAACTATGTCTATACATGTTATTATAGATAGCATAGACTATTTTGGAGAAAATTACATTGTCTACTTCACATGAACGATTTAGTGTTGCAAGTGGTAAAAAATATAAAACATGCGTCCCTTTGTTAAACGATTTTCAAAATCAAATTACGTTTTCGATCTCAGATAAACTGCAATGCAATGATACATTAATATTGTTATAAATATCATAAATTTTTTGCATTAAAAAAATATAAATGGACAATAACTAACGAAAGATAAACTCGAAAACAATTGGATACGGCATAGGAAAACAAAAATACTAGTCACGTTTGAAAAAAAAATTCTCATTTCCACGTTTTTGAGGCAGCTCCAATTAATAGTGTAAAACTTTAATTTAATTAATACGAAAAAGTTGTGTGTGTTTTTTTTTTCTAAGAATATTGATTGAAAATCGCATTAAATTATGATTCCTTTGGATGTCTGAGGAACGTTAATGTGTGGCTCAACGAACTGGTTGTATCCGGTTTGTCGGCAAATTGTGTAGGTTTTTTTTAAGTCGGTTAATTTAGCATTCTCCACTCGCATTCTCCGGGAAGATTCTTGTTGTGTCCAAAAACTACGACCACTAAGTTGACACACGCCTCGTCGAGCCACGTTACTGTCAACATTGACATGTCTCTTGACAGCTCAGGGTGACGTAAGCTTATTCCTTGCTGTCGTGATCATTTTTTTTCATTAACAGAACCGATATATCGTACCAGGCACTGTCAGATTGTCAGATCTTAAAACAAGATAAATCTATCTAAAAACATCCTATCTTAAAATCCTTAAATAAAATTATCCTTTTTATATCTTAACATTGTCTTTCTCCCATTCACGCAACATGTTTTCTCCTTCCATACTCCTCTATCGTATACTATATCTATTTCTTCGCTCACTCCCCTCTTACACATATCGTCTTTCACTCAATCCATCCATTTCTTCTTAGTTCTTCCTCTTCCTCTATACCCTTCCACATTCATAGTTAACGCTCTCTTACCAACCTCATTATCATTTCGTCTTATCACAAGTGCTCTATAACAACGCAACGGCTTTAGGCTTGAACGCGCTAAAAAATACGCTGTAGTTTTCGGTTTCATAATTTGAATTGTACGATCGTTTGACTTTTTGGCGGGAACGCGAGGAGTGAAGTTATGTGATTTGTTTTATTTTGTCTATTTAGTGTTTCTTTAGGATTAAATGTGTAGAACGGTGGCTTATTAACTGTTTAATATCTGTGAAAGTGCACAAATGTGGGAAAATGAAACATAGTCGCTGGACGTAGCTTAAAAATCTCAGTAAATGACCACTATTTTACTAAGACTTAAGGAATATGTTTTATCCCTTATCATCTCATCTCACTTTATTTAATTTCATCCCACTTGATTAATGTCTTAAATTAATCATCTTCATTTCATTTCATTACACTCCATATTATCATTGTTCATAAAAATAAGAATATAAATTAAAATAAGACACGACTTAAAGGTCTTAGTTACCAGGTCATAAAGTCCCTTAAAAAAAGTCGATCGTTTAAGAGTCAGAACGAGACCTCGAGAGTGAGACAAAAAATACTATCTCCCACCTTTTGCCTCTGGGCGGTCACTGATTTCAAAAGGCTTGTAGGTCGGTGCGCGTTGAATTAAACCCCAGTTCCGTATTGCCTAAATTGGATACAACTAGTTTGGAGTTAAATGTAGGAATGAAACCCTCGCCTCCTTATCTAAGTAGCAGTAGTGATAGAATGCTTCTAATGGCACTCAATAATGTTCATTTGTGCCTATGAAAATAGTATATAAAATTTTTATTATATAGAAGGATAAAAAATATATATATATGTATACATAAATAATAGTGAATAGCGTGAGTATATAGTTTTTTTTTTAAATAATAGATTTCAATGTCTCATAAAAAAAAATTCAGTACCGTAGGAGGAAACTATCATTTTTATTGTATTCTAGAATTAAAACAAAAAAAAATCGTAACACCAAGACGTTTAAGTTAAGGTCTTGTAAATAAGAGTAATTAAAAAAAAAAACTAAATGAAATGCGTGTCTCTTAATTTTTTTTTCTTCTTGTACAAACCAACGATGTGTATCGTCGCTTTTGTATATAAGCTCGTGCGAAAGTGAAAAATTATTTTTTAAAGTATGTATGAGTTTTATAGAGGATGTTGGACCTTTGGAAACATAAATTTTGTATATTTGATTGTTTATAGAAACTGAAATTAATATTTGAAATTCGCTTATAATAAGCGTATGCGTTAGCTCGACTCGTAACTATAGAGAAACGATTTGAAAACGATTTCTAGTTTGATTTCTCATTGTTTTTGTGTTTGATCGTAAAATGTGGGTAGTTTTTATTTCGATATTACGATAACTCGGCTTGAGCACGTTCAACTTACTCAGTACAACGTCAGAAATTGAACGCTTAGAGAAATAGAGGGAGAGAGAGGAAGGAGAGAGAGACAGAGAGACTTTCCGTCTTTTTTGCGACAGAAATGATCAAAAAATCTTGAAATCAAGTCTCAAGCTTGAACAAATTCGCAGCGCCTCACAACGATGCGATGCTTGTAAACTATGGGTCGCGTATGTTACTGACGTCAACTTTGAAAGTTATACGACATCGGAACGATACGAACGCACCGAATATATGCGTTTAGGCTGGGTTCACACGGTATTGTCCTGCACGTTTATTTGCAGTATACGTCTTAACTAATGAATAGTGGCATATACAGTGTATATAGAACCTCTCCTTACGGATCCATCGGATCCAATAACCTTTGCATTAGAGGCCTTCAGCTCTAACACTAGGAGTAGGCTTAGGGACCCCGGTAACCGTACTCGTCGAACTCGACAAAGAGGTCGACGTGCAACCTAACCCATATCTAGACCGCTGAGTTTCTTGCCGGATGTTCTCAGCGGGTCGCGATTCTGATCCGGTAGTAGATTCATTCGCGAAGCAACTGCTCTTGAGTTGTTAGGTCTCCTTTAGAGGCGCTCGGGCAGTTGTTAGCAAATCCCGTTACTCCTGGCTGAGCCTTTGCTCGTCCACTTGTCTTGGTGTCCTGGTGAAACTGGAAAGGCCTCAGGGCCACCAGTAATTCTTCAATCATAAAAAAAAACAAAACAAAACCTAGAACCATCCACATGTAGTTTGTACTGCAAAAATCGTACACCGCTAATGCGTTTAATAAAATACTCAACGGACTTGTCAAGCAAATCGAATGAACTTTAACGTTGCAGCGGCGCATAGTATAGCTCTGTCTCGTTCACACGCTCTTTTTTACACGAATGAAAATCTAAAATGCTTAAGTAATATCACTATAACACTACACCTACTAAAATTCATCTCTGCACTGCCCTATGGTAGACTGTTAGAGAATGCCTATGGCATTAAGTCCGCCTTTATACTGTAGAGTATGTAAAGTTATGAATAAATAAATAAAATCTACCGTATGAACACCCGTGGATGAATAACAAATACAAAGAAAACGTGTGGACAATGCCGTGTGAACCCAGCCTTATGTTTTAAGAACTTCAACTAGAGGTTCGGAACGCGAAGCAATAATTGAAATGCCTCTTAATCTAGATTTATAATCGATGTTTCGAAAATTTAACATCCAATTCTTCCTTTACGTAATATTACGGTATTTATATAGGTTTTTAGTATTAGCACGTTTATGAATTTGAGATGTGACGTGATTCGTGTCCGCCATTTGTAATTGTTGCAATAGTTACCGGATCGGTTAACAGATGGCGTTGCTCTTAACGATTGAAATGCGATCAGTCGTGAAGCTTGTTGCATGTGGTCGGATTAGTTGAGCTTACCTTTCAATAAAAGCTCTTTAATATATACTTCGAATAGAGATTGGTGCAAACCTGTATAGCAATAGTACATTCTGTGAAAGTTACATTCTATTAAAAGTTGTATTTACTGTGACAAGTTGAAAACTACAGCGGGACAATAGAAATAATGAAGCTTATTGTTTGCGTGTAGTCGGATTAGTTGAGCTTTCATTTAAATAAAAGCTCTTTATTAAACACTTCGAATAGAGATTGGTGCAAACCGTTATAGTAATAGCGCATTCTGTGAAAGTTGCTTGTCTTTATTGTGACAAGTTGAAAACTACAGCGGGACGATAGAAACAAGACGTTTTGAGCTTTGGGCGAACTTTTATCCGTTAATGCGACTCGATATTGAAAGTTTGGAAGATTTGGCTTTCGGAATCTCAAATCGAATCGAAGTGAATTTTTAACATCACCGAGACTATTCTGGCAGAGATAAACGGCTTTTATAAGAGTCTATAGAGTTTTATCCACTGAATACACGATGTAGCGGGTAGAGATGGATTTAGGCTTGATGCCCTAAATGTTAAAATAATTTTTATTAATTTCGATGCAATATTTTTGTTTTAAATTTCAAATAACTTGATACATATATTTTTTATAAAAATTAATCTGAACTCATCCTCAAAGGAGACTTGTCTTGACTTTTTTCCCGTCTCTGAAATTTTGGTATTATAAAAAACTTACTACCCCTCAAATCATGCTGGCTTAGGCGTAAATCCATCATTGGTAGCGATTAGCCGTCGTATGACACAAAAATATTTGACAGAATCTCGCTAACGACATTTTCAAACATAACTTTGCACTTATATAAGCTCTGAACAACTACATTGGTCCGATCTATTGAGTTATTTCTCCCGCTAATGGAAGACCTTCGTCTTTTTGTGTTCTAAGATAGTCACTACACGTGCAACAGTAGATATATTTGATGATCGCAAAAGCTGTACTTCATCATGAATTCTTGGAACCGCAATGTCCTAATTCCATACAATCTATTAATTAGAATGTACTTCTCGAAGACAACGCACAACATAATCAGACGCTTTCCTCGTTTACTTTTGTAAAGGTGTGTAATCTTATTATTTAT